CCAACCAGAGCCTGTCTGAAGTTTGAAAGTGGGCTTCTGGCCTTAACCCTACCCCTGCCCTGCTGGTGGCCTTGGACCATGGGGGTTGTGGGGGTGTAGAGGAGCACTGTGAATCAGCCACAGGCCTTGAGCTTCTCTCTGCACAGTGTTGGCATCGGATGTGGGCGGTGATGCCCCAGCCCAGGAACACAGGAAGCGCTCAGGGAAACCCCCATGCTGACATGGCTGAGGGCGCCGAGGTGGTGCTTCCGGGGCCCTCGCCTTACACAAAGAGGTCTTATGATAAGGAGAGAGAGGCTGCAGAGGCAGCTCCAGTGGGTGCCGGGTGCTTGTTCTGGGTAAGGCTGCCCACGCATGCAAAGTGTGCTTTGGACACAGTGTGCTTACATGTGTGCAAGGCTGAACATACATGTGTTCAGGGATTGCAGTGTGCTTGTGTGTGAGGCTGAACACGCATGCGCATGTGGGCAGTATGGTCACATGTGCAAGGCTAAACGCGCTTAAAGTGTGCGGGGGTGCAGTGTGCTTGTGCGTGTGCAAGGCTGAACATGCACGCAAAGTGTGCTCATGCGTGTGAGGCTGAACACACCTGTGTTTGCGTGTGTGGCCTGACCCTGCGCTGCGTGTGTCTACTTGCTCAGCAAATGCTGAGTGGGGACCCGCTGCGGTCCTGTTCTAAGCATGGGGGAAACATGAGGTCCGTGCTCCATGCATGTACGTGTGTGCATGTGTGTGTGTCCTGTGCTGCCCCAGGAATCTTCCAGGACATCCGGCTACAAGTGAAAGCAAGTGTTTTGGATCTGGAGTGAGCAGGAGGCGGACAGGGCCTTCCAGGCAGTGAGCGTAGGGGGCTTCGTGGTGCGACCTCAGACAGGCTGGTCACTGAGCCCCGCGCGGCTAAACGGCAGCCCCAGGCAAAGGTCGTTCTGCCCTTCCCTTGCGCCTGGGCCCAGATGCAGTGCAGGATGGGCCGGCCCCAAGGCAGGGCAGTGACGGGGCAGCCACTAGCCTCCTGAGGCATTCAGGGTTCCCAGTCCTGGTTGACTCCCAGCCCAGGCCCTGGGACCCAACACAGAACTGCCAGTCTGGTGAGGGAGGCAGCCATGTTATCTAATGGCTGTCACTGGTGACTCTGGGCAGGTGGCCTCAGCCCTCACATCTGTCATCTGGAGCTGACCTGGAGCCTGGCATCCTTCCCCAAGTGCAGCCAGGCCTCCCTGAAGGTCCAGGGCTGGTGGGAGTGTTGGCAAGAACGTATACAGGGCACCTGGCCAGACGAGGTGACTCACACCTGTAATCCCAGCACTTTGGGAGGCCGAGGCAGGTGGATCACTTGAGGTCAGGCGTTCGAGACCAGCCTGGCCAACATGGTGAAACCCCGTCTCTACTAAAAATAGAAAAATTAGGCATGGGGGTGTGTGCCTGTAATCCCAGCTACTCAGGAGGCCGAGGCAGGAGAATCACTTGAACCTGGGAGGTGGAGGTTGGAGTGAGCTGAAACTGTGCCACTGCACTCCAGCCTGGGCGACAGAGACTTCATCTCCAAAAAAAAAAGGATACTTTTTTTTCTAGAGCTGGCAAGGAGGGAGTATCCAGGAAGTGCTGGATAGTACTAGTTAATACATTTTATCTGAGAGACAAGGTCTGGCTCTGTCACACCATGGCACAATCATAGCTCATCACAGCCTCAACCTCTTGGGCTAAGCACTCATCCTGCCTCAGCCTCCTGAGTAGCTGAGAATACAGACGTGCACCACCACACCCTGCACATTTTTTTATTTTAATTTTTTGTAGAGAGAGGATCTCACTGTATTGCCCATGCTGGTCTTGAACTTCTGGCCTCAAGCAATCCTCCTGCCTAGGCCTCCTAAAGTACTGGGGTTACAGGCATGAGCCACTGCACCCGGCCCAATTTAATAACATTATTTATTTATTTATTATTTTTTAAGTTATTTTTTCACACACATTCCTCCTAACTTTTTTTTTCTTTTTTGAGACAGAGTCTCGCTCTGTCGTCCAGGCTAGAGTGCAATGGTGTGATCTTGGCTCACTGCAACCTCTGCCTCTCACGTTCAACAGGTTATCCTGCCTCAGCCTCCTGAGTAGCTGAGATTACAGGTGCACACACCCCCATGCCTAATTTTTATATTTTTAGTAGAGACGGGGTTTCACCATGTTGGTCAGGCTGGTCTCAAACTCCTGACCTCAGGTGATCCACCCGCTTCGGCCACCCAAAGTGCTGGGATTACAGGCGTCGCCACCACGCCCAGCTAATTTTTGTATTTTTAGTAGAGGCAGGCTTTCACCATGTTGGCCAGGCTGGTCTTGAACTCCTGACCTTAAGTGATCCGCCTGCCTCGGCCCCCCAAAGTCCTAGGATTACAGGCATGAGCCACCGTGCCTGGCCTTATTCCTAACCTATTTAATGATAATATTTTTGAGGGCTGGGTAGGGTGGCGTGAGTGTGTAGTCCCAGCTACTTGGGAGGCAGAGGCAGGAGGATCACTTGAGCCTGGGAGGTCAAGGCTGCAGTGAGCCGTGATCACACCACTGCACCCCAGCCTGGGCAGCAGAGCGAGACCCTGTCTCAAATATGTATACACACACACACACACGTTTCTGAGAACATACTCTGTTGGTCACTAATGGCAATGAAAAATTTGTTCAGTGGCTATTGCTTGAGCACCTACTATGTGCTAAACATTTAAGCAGTGGAAATAGAAAGGAGAACAAGATAAAACAAAAATGTGTCTCTGCCAAGCTGGTTCTATTCCAGCAGGGGAGGAAGGCAGCAGGCCAGATTAATGAGTCCATGTTTGATGGTGACTACTGAGCAAATTTAATCGGAAATAGGGAATTGGGAAGTGCTGGACTGTGGGAGGTGCTGCAGTTTCCAACGGAGGGGGTCAGGGAAGGCTTCCCCAAAAGTTGACATTTGAGCATAGACTTGAGTGGCAGCACCAGAGTGAGAGCTGTGTGTGCCAGTATCTGGGGGAAGAGTGTCACGGGCCGAGGGTACAGCCAGCATGGAAGCCCAAGGCAGGTGCATGCCTCTGTGCCCCAGAATCGGCCTCTGGTCGGCTGGGGAGGCCTGCTCCTCAAAGGGCGCATCGGGGCTGGTATATCACATCCATCACAGGCTAAGAGGAACCACCTCGTGGCACCTCGTCACGGAGGCCAGGTGCTATGTATCATCTGCTTCCAGCTCTCAGCACCTCTGTTGGGAGGCAGGATTCCTGTTCCAATTTTACAGATGAGGAAACTGAGGTTCAAAGAAGGCAGGTGACATGTCCAGGGGCACGTGGCTGGGCAAGCAGTGCCACTGAGCTCCTCCACTCCCAGGTCCCTGTGATGCTGGGAAACTGAGTCATGGAGGCGGGGAGAGATGGGCTTGAGGAACTGGGCTGAGACCGTGATCTCACCCCACCTCAGGCCTGGTGGGCTCCTTTGACACTCAGCGGCGGGTGGAGGAGGCTGGGGACAGGCTGGCGGGGCTGAGCTGGGCTGGTGGGAGGATGAGTCGCTGCCCTCTGCCAGGGTTCCCCTTCAGTGCTGGGGCTAGTCTAGGCGGCTGCAAAGTCTCCCTCGTTCTGGCCAAGTGTAATGGTTCACCCCTGTAATCCCAAATACGTGGCAGGTGAGGAGGGAAGATCTCTTGACCCCGGGAGCTTGAGACCAGCCTGGACAACACTGTGAGACCCCCGTCTACAAACAAATTAAAAATTAGTTGGGCACAGTGGCACACGCTTGTAATCCCAGGAGTTCATGGCTATAGTAAGCCGTGATCACACCACTGCACTCCACCCTGGGCGACACAGAGAGACCCTGTCTCAAAAAAACAACCTCCCTCCTTCAGTTCCTCAAGGCTGGGTCACCCTGGGGCCTCCCCAAGAGCCATCACCCAGGCCTGGCCTAGCCCTGTGCCTCCTCCCAGCCCTGGGTGCAGCCAATGGGTGTCTGGATGGAGAATGGGATATATCTGTTAAATACCTGCCTTTGCCTCACCCATGAGCCCCTGTATATCGACCACCTCCCCTCTCCCCGTCTGAGCAGTGACGGGGAAGACCAGGGCTCTGGGCATGGCGGGGCCAATGTGAGCACATCCACACCTGCCATGTGCTGGACACCTTTTTAGGTGGTTTATGAGATTACTTCATTTCTTTCTTTTTTTTTTTTTTTCTGAGATGAGTCTTGCTCTGTCACCAAGCCTCCTGAGTAGCGCGGATTACAGGCAGGCGCCACCACGCCTGACCAATTTTTTTTTTTTTTTTTTTTTTTGAGATGGAGTTTCGCACTGTCACCCAGGCTGGAGTGCAGTGGCATGATCTCGGCTCACTGCAAGCTCCGCCTCCCAGGTTCACACCATTCTCCTGCCTCAGCCTTCCGAGTAGCTGGGACTACAGGCACCCGCCACCACGCCCAGCTAATTTTCTGTATTTTTAGTAAAGACAGGGTTTCACCATGTTGGCCAGGCTGGTCTTGAACTCCTGGCTTCAAGTGATCCACCCACCTCAATCTCCCAAGGTGTTGGGATTACAAACATGAGCCACCGGGCCTGGCCTGGATGACTTCATCTTCATCCCATCCTTAATGGGGCAGGGAAGTTGGGGGGGGGGGGTCCATCCTGTGAGGAAACTGAGGCACAGGTGACAAGTGAGGGGCCTGTCCGGCTTGGAGTCCGAGCACCCCACCCCGCCCCAGGGAGCATCTCCCCTGTAGTACTGTCTCTTCCACCCTGTCCCTGGAGCCTCAGAGATATCCCATGAAAGCTGCCCTTTTATAAGGAGGGAAACTGAGGCCCCAGGAGGGGAAGCAACATGTCAGGCCAGTTAGGAGCCAGGGCTGGTCCCTGCTGCTCGTCTCTGTAAACTACTGCCCCTGTAGAGTGAGGGGCCTCCCTGGTGTGAGGCCCTTGAAGATCAGCTGGGGCCTGGTATCCGGGTAAAGTCAGGGGCAAGGTCAGGGCTGACGTGGATTCTCTCTTCCTCTCTCGGGCACAGGAGCCAAGCCACCATGGCCTACCACAGCTTCCTGGTGGAGCCCATCAGCTGCCACGCCTGGAACAAGGACCGCAGCCGTGAGTGCTTGCTGGGGGCTGGTGGGTGGCGGCTTCTACCTCCTGGGATGGGGACCAGCCAGACCACACATGGGGACGCTGGAGCAGCCAGGTCCCCGGACCACGGGCTCCATGCGGCTGTCCCCGGGCCTCACCCCTGGGTCTTCCAGCTGACCAGGGGTCTCCTGGGTTAAAGTTTAAGGAGGGAATGGGCCAGGTGCAGTGGCTTATGCCTGTAATCCCAGCACTTTGGGAGGCTGAGGTGGGCGGATCACTGGAGGTCAGGAGTTCCAGACCAGCCTGGCCAACATGGTGAAACCCCATCTCTACTAAAAATACAAAAATTAGCTGGGCGTGGAGTTGTGTGCCCGTAATCCCAGCTACCTGGGAGGCTGAGGCATGAGAATTGCTTGAACCCAGGAGGCAGAGGTTGCAGTGAGCCGAGATTGCACCCCTGCACTCCAGCCTGGGTGACAAAGCAAGAGTCTGTCAGAAAAAAAGGAAGGGAGGGGGGAGGGGGAAGGAAGGGAGGAAAGGAGGAAGGAAGGGGGGAGGGGAGAGGGGGAAGAGGAAGAAAGGAAGGAGGGAGGGAGGGAGGGAGGAAGGAAGGAAGGAAGGAAAAAAGAAGAAAAAAAGAAAATGTGGCCAGGAAAAGCCTTTTGGAGGAGATGACATTTTGACATTTACACAGAGACCCAGAGGAGGAGAGGGGCTGGGAGGGGCTGGCAGGTGCAGGGGCCCTGAGGTGTCAGCTGGCTGGCCAGAGCGATAGGGTGGGGAGAGGTCCCAGGGGTCATTGCTGTGAGTAAAGGACAGTCAGTCCCAGAAGAAGACAGGGTGACCTGGCAGGGCCTGAAGGACTTCAGGGGGCCCCCTCCAAGGCAAAGGAGGAGAGCCTGAGTCACGAAGGATGAGGCTGTTGCCTGGGTGCACTGTGTAGTGTGTCCTGGCAGAGGGCAGTCATGGAGAGGGCCCCTCAGTCTCCCTCCATCTCCCCTGCAGAGATCGCCATCTGCCCCAACAACCACGAGGTGCACATCTATGAAAAGAGCGGTGCCAAATGGACCAAGGTGCATGAGCTCAAGGAGCACAACGGGCAGGTGACAGGTATGGCAGGGTGGCTGGGACCACAGTCCTGAAAGGGTGGTGGGCGGGGGGATGCAAGGCAGGGCATGGCCACTCATTATGGGGCATCTACCCACTCACTGTGAAACCCTGATTCAAATTGGCTTCAATTTTAAGGGGGCTGTGTTGCCTCATGTTACCAAAAAACTCAGAGGGTTGAGGGCTTCAGGAGAGGCTTGATCCAGCAGCTCCACATGACCAAGAACCCATCTTTTCTGCCTCTTGGCTTTGCCCTCCAGCATGTTTACTGATAGCATGGAGGGCTCTGACACTTCCTCATAAGCTCTAGGAGTGCCCCCTGGTGTCACTCTAAATAAGCACTGGATCTCAGTAAAAAGTGCTTGCTGGGTCAGGTGTGGTGGCTCATCATGCCTATAATCCCAGCACTTTGGGAAGCCAGGCAAGTGGATCACTTGAGGTTAGGAGTTTGAGACCATCCTGGCCAACATGACAAAATGTTGAAAAATATAAAAGTTAGCCTGGTGTGGTGGCACACACCTGTAGTCCCAGATACTCCGGAGGCTGAGGCAGGAGAATCACTTGAACCCAGGAGGCAGAGGTTGAAGTGAGCTGAGATCACACCACTGCACTCCAGCCTGGGCGACAGAGCGAAACTGTGTCTCAGTAAAAACAAAGAAAGAAGGAAAGAGGCTGGGTGCGGTGGCTCACGCCTGTAATCCCAGCACTTTGGGAGGCCGAGGCAGGCGGATCACCTGAGGTCAGGAGTTGAAGACCAGCCTGGCCAACATGGTGAAACCCCATCTCTACTAAAATACAAAAATTAGCCAGACATGATGGCAGGTGTCTGTAATCCCAGCTACTTAGGAGGCTGAGATGTGAGAATCGCTTGAACCCGGGAGATGGTAGTTGCAGTGAGCTGAGATTGTGCCACTGCACTCCAGCCTGGGCGGCTGAGCGAGACGCCATCTCAAAGAAATAAAGAAAGATTGGTGGTACACGCCTGTAGTCCCAGCTACTCAGGAGGCTGAGGCACAAGGATTGCTTGAACCTGGGAGGCAGAGGTTGCAGTGAGCTGAGCTCATGCCACTGCATTCCAGCCTGGGTGACAGAGTGAAACTCCGTTTCAAAGAGAAAAAAGAAAAAGTGCCTATTGCGCAGATACAGCTTCCACCTTGATTGTGGCCTTTCAGCCTTTCCTGTGTGGCCACCTCTGCCTGAGTGTCGTCAGCCTCCTGTGTCCCCTCCATCCCCCCACAGGCATCGACTGGGCCCCCGAGAGTAACCGTATTGTGACCTGCGGCACAGACCGCAACGCCTATGTGTGGACGCTGAAGGGCCGCACGTGGAAGCCCACGCTGGTCATCCTGCGGATCAACCGGGCCGCCCGCTGCGTGCGCTGGGCCCCCAACGAGAACAAGTTTGCTGTGGGCAGCGGCTCCCGTGTCATCTCCATCTGTTATTTCGAGCAGGAGAATGACTGGTGGGTACCTGGGTGGGGCTGGTAGGGACCCGGGGGCAGGACTAGAGTGTCCCCGGGAAGCACCAAATGGGATGTCGGGACCCCTGTTCGCATGACCCCTGCTTTCTGGGCCTCATTCACGAGGCAAGGGCCTCTCTGCAGTGCCCGGATGTTCTCACAGCTGACTGCTTGGGACGATGACATCCACCACACCAGAAACACCTCTGGGGACACCTCACTAAGCCCTGCACACACATCAGTCCTCCCTGCAGCTCCGTGGACTGGGCATCGCTCACTGTCCCCACTTTACAGATTAGCAAAGTAAGGCCCTGCGGCAAAGTCACTTTCTCAAGGCGCCACTCACAAGCTTGCAGCCACATCTTGTTCCTTTTTTTTTTTTTTTTTTGAGATGGGGTCTCACTCTGCCGCCCAGGCTGGAGTGAGTGCAGTGGCACAATCTTGGCTCACTGCGGCCTCTGCCTCCCGGGTTCAAGCAGTTCTCTGCCTCAGCCTCCCAAGTAGCTGGGATTACAGGTGCCTGACACCACGCCTGGCTAATTTTTGTATTTTTAGTAGAGGTGGGGTTTCACCATCTTGGCCAAGTTGGTCTTAAACTCCTGACCTCATGATCCACCCACCTCAGCTTCCCAAAGTGCTGGGATTACAGGTGTGAGCCACCGTGCCCAGCCAATTTTTTTTTTCTTTTTCTTTGAGACAGAGTCTTGCTCTGTCGTCCAGGCTGGGGTACAGTGGCACGATCTCAGCTTACCGCAACCTCCGCCTCCCGGGTTCAAGCGGTTTTCCTGCCTCGGCCTCCCGAGTAGCTGGGACTATAGGCACACGCCACCACACCCGGCTAATTTTTTTTTTTTTTTGAGGCGGAGTCTCGCTGTCGCCCAGGCTGGAGTGCAGTGGCTGGATCTCGGCTCACTGCAAGCTCCGCCTCCTGGATTTACGCCATTCTCCTGCCTCAGCCTCCTGAGTAGCTGGGACTACAGGCACCCGCCACCTTGCCTGGCTAGTTTTTTGTATTTTTTTAGTAGAGACAGGGTTTCACTGTGTTAGCCAGGATGGTCTGGATCTCCTGACCTCGTGATCCGCCTGTCTCGGCCTCCCAAAGTGCTGGGATTACAGGCTTGAGCCACCGCGCCCGGCCTAATTTTGTATTTTTTAGTAGAGATGGGGTTTCTCCATGTTCGTCAAGCTGGTCTTGAACTCCCAACCTCAGGTGGTCCACCTGCCTCAGCCTCCCGAAGTGCTGGGAGTACAGGCGTGAACCACTGCGCCCGGCCATATATATTTTTTTGAGACAAGGTCTTGCTCTGTCGCTTAGGCTAGAGTGCAGTGTTGTGATCATAGCTCACTGCAGCCTCAGCCTCCTGAGCTCAAGTGATCCTACCGCTTCAGCCTCCTGAGTAGCTGGGACTACAGGCCCAAATAATTTATTTATTTATTTTGTAGAGATAGGCTCTCGTCAAGTTGTCCAGGCTGGTCTTGAACTCCTGGCCTCAAGCAACCTTCCCACCTCAGCCTCCCAAAGTGCTGAGACTACAGGTGTGAGCCATGGTGGCCAGCCCATGTCTTAGTTCTTAATCTTCTCCCCTGCATGGCTGAGGGCAGAGGCCAGGCAGGAGCATCTGAGAGACCCAAATTTGCATCCCACCATGGCCAGTTAGTAGCTCTGTGACCTCTGGTGGCGGCATCACTTTGCTGAGCCTGCCCTGAGGGTGACTGTGTGGCTTAAAGGATAGTGGGCACAGAGTTCCCACTCCAGAAGCGACCTAGCGCATCCCTGCCGCCCCAGGGCCCTGAGAGCCTTGTGGGCTGGGAGTGTCCAGTTGCGTCTCTCCTGGGTCTTTGGTGGGCTGTAGGGAGCAATGGGAGCCTGAAGTCCCTGGTGCTGAGGTCCGTGAGTCCCACCTGCCTGTCCCTCTCTCCCTGACTGCCTGACCACCATGCCCAGGTGGGTTTGCAAGCACATCAAGAAGCCCATCCGCTCCACCGTCCTCAGCCTGGACTGGCACCCCAACAACGTGCTGCTGGCTGCTGGCTCCTGTGACTTCAAGTGCCGGTGAGACAGGGCGCCATGGGAGAGGGCGGGGCTGACGTTAACTGACTGCTGACATCATAGCGGAGATTGGAGGGTGGTGGGGGAGCCACACCTGAAAGTTCTACACCCCACCTTCTAGACCCGCTCCAGAAATGCTACCAGTGGATCACCTGGGCGTCGGTTGAAGGTTCTAGTCCCCGGGGAACCCTTCATGTCTCAGCTGGACATGCCTCTGCCCACCTCTTTTATTTTTTTGAGATAGGGGCTTGCCCTGTTGCCCAGGCTGGAATGCAGTGGTGCAATCATAGCTCATTGCAGCCTCCAAATCCTGGGCTCAAGTGATCCTCTGGCCTCTCAGCCTCCCAAGCAAGACTACCACTCCCAGCTAGATGGGAATTTTTTTTTTTTTTTTTTTTTTTTTTTGAGATGGAGTCTCACTCTGTTGCTCAGGCTGGAGTGCAGTGGCGCGATCTAGGCTCACTGCAAGCTCCGCCTCCTGGGTTCACACCATTCTCCTGCCTCAGCCTCCCGAGTAGCTGGGACTGCAGGTGCCTGCCACCATGCCCGGCTAATTTTTTGTATTTTTAGTAGAGACGGGGTTTCACCGTGTTAGCCAGGATGGTCTCAATCTCCTGACCTTGTGATCCCCACGCCCCGGCCTCCCAAAGTGCTGGGATTACAGGTGTGAGCCACTGCGCCTGGCCGGGATTTTTTTTTTTTTTTTTTTTTGGAGACAGAGTCTCGCTTTTTCATCCAGGCTGGAGTGCAGTGGCGCGATCTCGACTCATTGCAACCTCCGCCTCCTGAGTTCAAGCGATTCTCCTGCCTCAGCCTCCTGAGTAGCTGGGACTACAGGCGCCCGCCACCACGCTCAGATAATTTTTGTCTTTTTAAATGTAGAGATGGGGTTTCACCATGTTGACCAGGCTGGTCTCGAACCCCTGACCTCAAATGATGCATCTGCCTCAGCCTCCCAAAGTGCTGGGATTACAAGCTTGAGCCACCATGCCCAGGCACCTGTTAACCCTTTAAAAATTTTTTTTTTTATTTTTTATTTTATTTATCTCACTCTGTTGCCCAAACTGGAGCACAGTAGTGCAATCACAGCTCACTGCAGGCTTGACCTCCTGGGTTCAAGCAGTCCTCCCACATCAGCCTCCTGAGTAGCTGAGAGTACAGGTGCACACCACCATGCCTGGCTACTTTACCTCTATTTTGCCTCTCCCGGTAGGATCTTTTCAGCCTACATCAAGGAGGTGGAGGAACGGCCGGCACCCACCCCATGGGGCTCCAAGATGCCCTTTGGGGAGCTGATGTTCGAATCCAGCAGTAGCTGTGGCTGGGTACATGGCGTCTGCTTCTCAGCCAGTGGGAGCCGCGTGGCCTGGGTGAGCCACGACAGCACCGTGTGCCTGGCTGACGCTGACAAGAAGATGGCGTGAGTAGAGGCCATCCTGGGGGAGGAGGTGAGTGCAGAGGAGCGGGACAGTGTGACTGACAGCTCTCTCCCCTCAGCGTCGCGACTCTGGCCTCTGAAACGCTACCACTGCTGGCACTGACCTTCATCACAGACAACAGCCTGGTGGCAGCGGTGAGGAACGGGGAGGGGGTGTGATCACAGCAGAGAGCCCAGCTTCCCTTCTTTCTCCTGCCTCCCTCCTTTTTTTCTTCCTTGCATTCTCTCATGTACCAGAGTTGGGCAGAACAGGTTGGATTATGCTGCAGTAACCAAAAGTCCCTGGCTACAGGTGCTTAACAGAGTAAATATTTGGTCAGGTGCAGTGGCTCACGCTTAAAATCCCAGTACTTTGGGAATGTTGAGGTGGAAGTATCACTTGAGGCCAGGAGTTTGAGACCAGCCCAGGCAACATAGTGAGACCCTTGTCTCTACAAAAAGTTAAGAAATTAGCTGGGTGTGGTGGTGCACCTGTAATCTCATAATCCCAGTTACTTGGGAGGCTGAGGCAGGAGGATCACTTGAGCCTGGGAGGTTGAGGCTTCTGAAGTGAGCTGTGGTCGTACCACTGCACTTCAGCCTGGGCAACGGAGAACCTGTCTCAAAAAAAAAAAAAAAAAAAAAAAAAGGCCTGGTGGCTCACGCCTGTAATCCCAGCAAATTGGGAGGCCGATGTGGGCAGATCACTTGAAGTCAGGAGTTCAAGACCAACCTGGCCAACATGGCAAAACCCCATTTCCACTAAAAATACAAAAATTAGCCGAGTGTGGTGGCAGGCACCCATAGTCCCAGCTACTCGGGAGGCTGAGGCAGGAGAATTGCTTGAACCCAGAGGCAGAAGTTGCAGTGAGCCAAGCGTGCCACTGTACTCCAGCCCGGGCCACAGAGACTCCATCTCAAAAACAGAAAAAAACAGAAACAAGAGATTTACTTCTTGCTCACATTTTATGTCCAGTGTGGGTGTTGTGAGGGGCTCTGATGGAGGCTGTCCCCAGCATGCTGTCCCAGATGCCACGAGGGAGCCGAAACCTGTGGAATCATGCCCTGAGTCTTAACATTTCTGCCCACATTTTATTGGCAGGTGCAATGGCAAGGCCATGCCTAATGCAAAGGGCAGGAGTTCGGGGTGTGCAGTTCCTCCAGGTGTCCGGGAAGGGCACTGCTCTCCCTCCCCTCTGCCCACATCTGTCAAATCCCTTTTCACCCCTCTGCAAACATAATGAGGATGCCAGGGTCAGGTCAGGCTTGCTTTTTGCCTAGAAAAGCAACCAGCTGCAGGGGTCTCCCCTAGAGCAGGTGTAACTGGCTGGGCAGGACAGAAGGCGCCTGGGCTCCCAGGGAGTCCCAACGCTGGCCTTGCTGAGGGAGGTGGCAGCCCCCAGCATGGCCCCCGGTTTTGATACACCTGCGATTCGGGCCTCCCTCCCTCGCTGTGGCTCGTCTGTGCCCCTGAGCTGGCATCTGCCTCCCGGGCCGCCAGATGCCCGCCTGCCCTCCCCTTCGGCAGCGCTCCAATGGTCCCCGCCTCCCCGCTCAGGGCCACGACTGCTTCCCGGTGCTGTTCACCTATGACGCCGCTGCGGGGATGCTAAGCTTCGGCGGGCGGCTGGACGTTCCCAAGCAGAGCTCGCAGCGTGGCTTAACGGCCCGCGAGCGCTTCCAGAACCTCGACAAGAAGGCGAGCTCGGAGGGCGGCACGACTGCGGGCGCGGGCCTGGACTCGCTGCACAAGAACAGCGTCAGGTGAGGGCGGGGGCGGGGCCTCGACTCGTCCAGTAGCAGCGTCGGGTGAGGAAGGGGTCTGGACTCTTCCTACTGGGGCGTTGTGCTGGGACGGTGAGGACTGGGGGCCCGGAGGGAGGGTAGGCCTACCCTCTACTCGCCGCGCGGGAACGTCGGATGAGGGGCGGGCCCGGACGAGGGGACGGGGCCTCTTTGTGGGCGGGGCCTCGACGCTGCATGATAACCACGTGGGGCGGCAGAGGGGGCGTAGCGGGCCCAGGGTAGGGAATGACTTCGACTAGTTGTGGGCGGGGCCCCGTCTCGATCTCAGCCTAGCAGCTCAGGTGCTAGTGGAGCCCGGGAGGGACACGGTGGGACCGACATAAAAGACGGAGTCGACCTCTTTAGGTTGCATAAAAATAGCATCAGATAGGGCCTGAGCAGCTAGCCTCGCTCTGCATTTCCCGGACATAGCTGGGTGGGGACTGTTCTGTGGGGTGGCCAGGCAGTGACTAGCCGGCGTCCTGGGCGGGGTCACAGCTGGGGTGGGTCTGTTGCTAGTACTCAGCGAGGTGGGGGCGGAGCTGAGGGTCCCTCTGCAGCCTTCTAAGGATCTAGGGTGGGATGGGGAAAAAGAGGCTCTCCAAAGCCCAAAAGCTGCCAGCCACACGCATCCACCCCACGGCGAATCAGAGGGAGCTGTATGGCAAGACTGGCCAAGCCCTTCCGCCTGTAAAACCTCCTGTGGCCGCCAGATCCGATGGCTTCCTCAGACGGAACACCTTTGCCCGGCTGTCAGCTTAGTCCTTGGCTGCCCCCACCCTCATCTCCTTTTTTGTCCTGTCCAGCTGCACTGCTGGCACTGTGTACACTCCGCAAACACGTGTCTTTCCTGCCTCCCTGGACTTGAGTGTCCTGTCCCATTTGCCTGCACTTCCCACACCACTGCTCGTTCCCAAAAGCAGAGCTGACTTCTAAGCCCACTACACCCCATCTCAGCATTTCTCACTGAAGCCCGCTCCCCAAGAAGTCTGGGAGCGCCTGGACAGGGTGAGCCTGAGCCCAGCGCCAGCACAGGTTGGATTCATAAGCTCCTCTTCCTCTTTGCAGCCAGATCTCGGTGCTCAGCGGGGGCAAGGCCAAGTGCTCGCAGTTCTGCACCACTGGCATGGACGGCGGCATGAGCATCTGGGATGTTAAGGTGAGGCTTGCCCTTCCTGGCTTCCCGCTGTGCCCCCCAGGTCAACTCTTTCCACTCATCCCCACTCCCTGGAGGTGACCCCCATCCTTCACTCCTGCAGAGATGGCACTGCAAGAGGATGAGGGCTGGGGGCGGCCCCTTGTCATCTGGGCCTTGGTGCTCACTGGGGCACCCGTCTTCAGGGCTGGGATTCAAACCCAGTTCTGACAGACTCCAAAACTGCAGGTTCTCTGCCCTCTGCTGTCCTGGGGCTGAGATGGGTGATCAGGTCCCTGGGAGTGGGGTGCCTGCCGGACAGCTGAGAACCAGCCTGTCCGTTCTGCCTCCCTTGCAGAGCTTGGAGTCAGCCTTGAAGGACCTCAAGATCAAATGACCTGTGAGGAATATGTTACCTTCATCCTAGCTGCTGGGGAAGCAGGGAGAGGAGTAGGGGAGGCTAATGGTTGCTTTGCTGAATATTTCTGGGGTACCAATGTGAGTCCCCATAGGGGCTGCTCCCTCAAAGAGGGGACAGATGGGGAGCTTTTCTTACCTATTCAAGAAATATGTGCCTTTTTCTTAAAGAAATGCTTTCATTTATTGGAAAAAAAAAAAAAAGCCCCCAAAGCACTATGCTGGTCATGAACTGCTTCAAAATGTGGAGGTAATAAAATGCAACTGTGTTAAAAAAAAAAAAAAAAAAAAGCAATTGTGGACACGCTTGCCTATGTGGAAGGAGAGGTTTTTTGTTATTTTCTTGGGGTCTTGCTAAGTTATCCAGGCTGCACTGGAACTCGTGGGAGCAATCCTTCTGCCTCAGCCTCCCAAGTAGCTGGGACTCCAGGGAGAGGTTGGTGTTTGCACAGCCATAGGTAGATAGCTTATTTTTACTGCTGGACAACAACATTGATCCTGAAGCCCAGCAGCCTTATGCCAAATGGTTCCTTCCCCAATGCTGTCCATCCTGGGCTGCCACTCCCAAAACTGCCAGTACCAGGTGTCACTGATTGACTAGTCAAATTCCTGCACAAAGGGGCTACACATTCCAGGCTGGTTGTGGAACTTTTGTTTTGAGATGGAGTTTTGCTCGTCGCCCAGGCTGGAGTGCAGTGGTGCGATCTCGGCTCACTGCAACCTCTGCCTTCCTTGGGTTCAAGCGATTCTCCTGCCTCAGCCTCCCAAGTAGCTGGGATTACAGGCTCACACCACCAAGCCTGGTTAATTTTTGTATTTTTAGTAGAGAGGGCGTTTCTCCTTGTTGGCCAGGCTGGTCTCGAACTCCTGACCTCAGATGATCCACCCAGCTCGCCTCCCAAAGTGCTGGGATTACAAGCTTGAGCCACCGTGCCCGGCCTGGTTATGGAACTTCACGGGAATTTATTTTGTCATTACAATGTTGGCAGCTGATTTCTGATACATGCTCATTTTAGATATACTTTTCCTGTGCTGCAAAGTGAGGTTCTGTCTTGGAGTTGATGTCATGTCACCGGGTCCTGCACTGAAGGGCATTTGCACACCTTTTGTGGCTTCTCTCAGGAAAATGTGGGCCTTGGCGACATCCAATGCCAGTGCTACTCCCCTTTTCCCCTAGAGTTACAGAATTATAACTACCAGGGGACATCTACAGGCCAGGCCAGGATCCTGGTGCAGCTTCAGCCTGCTGTGGCCTGGAAGGGTCCCTGCCTGCTGAGGCCTAAGATCCCAACTTGGCTAAAGGAGGGGAGGGAGCAGGCTATGGCATCTGAGGTCTCTCCCAGCCCCAATCCTGCAATCCAGGGGTCCATCCCCGAACCCTGCTTAGTGCCTCCTAACAGATGTCATGCCCCAGGGCCCCAGGTAGATATGTGCCCTGAACCTTGCCAGGTACGTGTGCCTGAACGTGGCGCCATACCCAGCTGGGTAAAAATGGCTCGAGCACGGGAGCCAAAGGATGGAGTGCAAAACAAAGATTACGATAATGTCAAGTTTAATCTGCCAAATATACAAGTTGAATTTGTGGAGCATGTTTTGCCTGGGTGCCACACAGTAAACAGAGGTTTCTTGAAATGATCAATGGGTAGGGTTAAAAATGGGCACTGGCCCTGGCCGGGTGGGTAGGAACCGGGCAGGGAAGGGCAGACAGGCGAGGCCTCGACCAGACAGGACTGACCAGGGACAAGCCATGACCCTCAAGGACCCAGGGGCACAGGTTCCCGGATGATAGCCCCTCTCTGAATGAGCACCCAGGCAACACAGTCCAGGGCTGGGTATAGCAAACCTGTCGGCAGCTGCCTCCTGGGACAACCATCCCCTTACGTGCTATCTACCAGACAAATGAAAGCTCTTCTTACCCCATCTCCCAGGCACCCCCCAGCAAGGGCTCTGAATTCTAAAAACAGCGAAAACATTCAAATGGTTACATATGAAATGCTGTCCTGCATCTTTCTGTCTCAAAGATAGCAGCTGCCCCTCCCCCAGCCCCCCCCCCACATTCCCCAAACAATTTCTGTGCCAAGATGAAAAGGAGGCCCCAGGCCGTGGGGGGCTCCTGGCCGTGAGGGGCTGTTGCAGCGGCGCCAGGGCACAAGGTGGGCAAGACACAGCAGAGGTCCTGGCAGCGCGGCCCAGGTCCCCAGCATCTCCTCCCACGCGTCGCGGTTACTTATTCAGGGAGAGCGACTGCATTCGTTTTCCTGACAATGTGGCATCATCTTTTGCTGAGGGTGGGAGGAGAAGGGCAGGGGTTAAAACAATGCAACCCCCACCCCTCCCAGCACACGCGCCAGAACCCTAGAACCTTAGGTCTGAAAGGCTGCAGAAAACATCCTGTGCAACAAAGAAGGGTCCCGAGGAGAGCCGAGGCATGGGAGAGGATTTCTGCTGCAGCTACCACCCCGGGACCCCCTGACATTACTGACACGTTTCAGTGGCCAGACCACCTTATAGAAAGCTGTCCCCTCCACAAAGCCCCACCAACACACACTCTTGTGGGCAAATGGAAACTTCTCACCCCACCTCCCAGCAGAACCCTGTAATTCTAACCTCCCGCCACGGGTTCTGAAGTCTAAATTAAACGTTCCAACAGTTACGTGTGAAGTCCTTTCCTGCTTGGGGTTTGTGAAGCAGGGTTGAATGGGAAGTTGGGATCACTGGATTTCTGGTGCAAGTGACAACATCCCGAGCAACTGGTTTCCCCTTTCTGGGCCCGCTTCTAGGCAGGACAGATGGACTTGTAGGGGCTCTCACAGACCCCCGGAAGATGGAAGGCTACAAGTCAAATGCTCCTATAAACGACCAACTCCCATAGCCACCCTGGCCTAGAGGAACCTCCACCTCTGGCCTGCCTGGAGGGAGAGCACAGGAAAAGGGATGCCTGGGCTGGACGTCAAGCCGGTCTGCACTGCTGTGTATCCAGCTCACCCTCCCAAGCCCTGGAGATGGCTAGCGGTGGCCCCAGGCAGCTCTCCCAGGTTCCTAAGGCACCAGAGACCTTGGTGGGATCTGTGAGTCTCAGGCAAGGCCTGTACTAGGGGCGTGGTTTCCTGTGACCTCCTGCTGTTAGGAGTAGTAACTCCACCTATTGTGGACAGTGCTGTGCTGGGACTTCAACCCACAACTGACTCCATGATGTCGTTGGACCCTCCCAGTCCCCCGGCAAGTGGCAGGCACAGGGAGTGTGGGCCTCTCCTGAATGATCTCCTAGGCAGCAGTCACTCCTCACCTCATCAGCTCGCGGACACGGACACGAATTCAGGGCTTTGTGGCTGGCCCAGGACCAGAGTTGGGGGCTGTCCCTGCATGCGCAGCCCAGCCCTTACCTTTCCTTTCCTCTTCCTTCTTCCGGGCAGCCTCCTCCCGCTGTTTCCGGATGATGGCCAGTCGGGCCAGGTCGGCCTTGGCTTGCTCTGTCTTCCCGGCCAAGTGCATTTTCATGTAACGCTCTTTTGCCTTCTGCTTCTCAATCTCTTCTCTGTGTGGATAAAATGGTGTCACCGGGACATCTTTCCCACCACTGTTTGCCAAACTGGATGGGAGTCAGAATAAAGGCCAAGGATTTGGCCTAGGGCCAAGGTGGAAGGGGTGCTCTGGCTGTGAGTCCCTGGCTCCATGAACCCCCTGCTTGGTGGACGTTCACCAAGAAAGTGAGCAGGAAGAAGAGGCCCAGGGAGAGAACATCTATGGTTTCCAGAAAGCCTCAGTGGGAGAGGGGACAATGTCCACCTACAGCAGGGAGGGGAGAATGCCTGAAGGCTTCATGATCAGGCTCTGGTGGCCATGGAGAGAAGGGGGACCAGGCCAGGAGTGTTCCAGACAAGATGACCAGGAGGATGAAAGCAGTGGGGACCATATCCTACAAGGAATGAAGGGCCAGGCGCACTGGCTCAGGTCTATAATCCCAGCACTCTGGGAGGCCAAGACAATAGGATCACTTGAGGCTGTAAGTTTGAGACCTGCCTGGGCAATATAGCAAGACTCTGTCGTACAAAAAAGAAAATTTAAAAATTAGCCAGATGTGGTGGCACACATCTGTTGTCCCAGCTACTTGGGAGGCTAAGGCAGGCAGATTGCTTGAGCCCAGGAGTTGAAGGCTGTGGTGAGCTATAATTCCGCCACTGCACTCCAGCCTGGGTGACAGAGTGAAATCCTCTCTCTAAAAAATACAAACAAAAAAAGGAGTGAAGTGGAAGCAGCAGCCACAGGGCATAGGATGAGGACCACAATGGGAAACAGACACACCCAGTCTCAGGTCAACACCACACGACCCATTCTTACAGCAGCTCAGATGTGCACGGTGCTGCCCCCCAAAAGACACAGCCCCCATCAGTAGGGGGATGGGAATAATCGCTGGGCTCCCATGGGACAAAGGTGTCAGGAATGAACCCCCTAAGTGGCGTCAGTGGTGAGGGTCATTCGCTTCCTTTTGAGGATCTTCTCAAGCTTGAGATTCTGAACTGGAGTGGATGCCCTTCAGGGTGAGATCGGAGGGCCTATTGGCACTGGGTTCCTGGAAGAGCCAAGTGTTGGAGTGGGGGAGGGCCCTGCCTGGCAGGAGGCTGGGGGAGAGACTTGGCCTCCCAGAGGTCTTCAGGGTACACAGAGCTGGGGAGTAATGAGAAATCAGGCATGGGAGGTAGCCAGAGGGGAGGGAGAGGGACTTAGAGGGAGTGGAAGGAGCAGACGCCTCACTACAGAGATGAGGAGATAATACCTGGCGACCTGCAGATCCTAGCCCAGGAGGGACATGACACACTCAGAAGCCTCTAAGCTGAACCTCAGGAATGATGACCGAGGCAGCCCAAAGGCTCTGCAGCACCCTTCGGTGAAAGCAAAGTGCCAGGCACGGCATCTCTGCAACCTCAAAGGGCAGAGGGAGGGAGCAATAGGATCCCTTTTACTGGTGAGGACACTGATGCCCAGAAAGGGCACAGCCTTATCGAAGGCTGCACAACTGCTAATGGCAGAATACTACAGTGGCAGAATACCCAGGTTGCTGGGTTTTTGAAGTCAATGCTGAGAGAAAGCTACTGAAGGGGGACAGAAGGGTCCTTAGCAGCTGCAATCACACCCAAGCTCATGGCCTTCCCCATGAGGCTTTCACAGACACAACCCTCCGCCATTATCCTAAATGCCCAGTCAGGAGAGAAAACAGCAGGCTTCAACCTCTTGTAAGGCCCTTGAGGTCACCTGGCGGCTGCCAAAAGTCAGGGCACCAGTCAAGGACTGATCCTGTGCCAGGTGCTTCAGTACATGATCTTGATCCTCATACAACTCTTGAGGAAGATATTTGCAGCTTCATTTTCACACGAGACTTGGAGAGGCCTGGGACAGCTGGCTGAGCTGCGCTGGGCTGGACTGCCTTTCTGGCCGCACAGGCTCACAGACCTCTTCCAGTCCCCAGGGCCATGACACTACAGATTGATGCAGGTCAGGAATGGTCAGATCAGTGGGGTAAGGGAAGCCTCCCCAGGGTGTGGTGCTCTGGAAGAGGGGAATGGAGGGCAACCCTCTGTATCCTGCACCATTACCTCAAGCGCAATGCTCAGGTCTGAGTCTGTTGTCCTATTTCCCCTGATACCACGTATCAATTGATGAAAACAAATTCTGTGTGGCTTTTTAAAGGCTACTGGAGGGCCGTTGGGGAATGAGACAGAAATAAACAGCCACAGCTCCCAGCCAACTGGGGACCTTAGCATCCCACAGGCCAACTGCTAGCCTGTATTCCCCGGGTCACAAGGCCCAGCCAGTGATGTTACCGTTCTCTCCTTGAAAGCTCCTTTGGCCCGTCCAGATCCAGCTGTGTGACCTTTTTGGTTGTCTGTGCCACCCGGTTGGGGTTCTCGATGTCGATGAGCCCTTCGACGCCTTTGCGCTTTTGCTAGAACAGGGCAAGAAGCTGGTTGTTGGAGTTCAGGTCCTGTGGAGCCCCTGAGGGCCACTCCCACCATCTCTAAACAGCCTATCTGGATGAGGACAAACTCATGCTCCACCCGTAGCCCACATAGTGCTCAGCCCAAGTCTCACGGTGGGGACAGCTCTCTGGAGCATCTTCACCAGCCTGGGAAGAGCCCACAGAACGGCTGCTCAGGGTCCAGTAACTTGCCTAAGTCAACCAGGAAGCGGGTGGTAGATAAGAGGTGCGCCCTACCCCAGCTTGCAAGCACTCACACAGTGCCACTCCCCCGTTTCAAGCTCAGCTTCCAAAAGCAGTTTTCCATGGAACCCCATGCCTGATTCTTGTTGCAAGAAGCACTGGCCTGGAATCCCCAGGGCAGGGTGGGCCAAGTGTGTGCTGTCAGGACCAGTTCCAATTCCTGCCCACCTTAGCTGATGGACTGGACACGTAACTCAAGAATGAGCCACTGGATCACAGACTCTACAGGTTTGGGGTGCTGGCCCAAGAATCTGGAACCTGCACCCTTCCACCTCCCCTGGGGAAGTTCTAGAGGAAAGGAGTGTGTTCTCAATGCAGTGGGTTTGGTCAAAGTTTCAGGTACTGTCAATTCCATCAGTTCTCCTTAAGGGGGCGGGGAGACAGCTTTGACTCCACAGAGCTCCCTCCACACACTTCCAGTCCAGCTGCACACTTACACCTCCACTCGGATGCCTGGCACTGTAAACTTAACATGCCCAAGACAGAACTTGAGATTCATCCTTTACCCAACCGGACCCTCCCTGCAATCCTAAGCATATCCTTGATTCCTCGTTCCTTCAGCAACCCCCAAATATGGCTTACATCTGTCCACTCTTCTCCACTGCCATTGTCACCACCCTAGGGCAAGCCACGATTTCTTTTTTTTTTCTTTTGAGATGGAGTTTCGCTCTTGTTGCCCAGGCTGGAGTGCAATGGCACAATCTCGGCTCACAGCAACCTCGGTCTCCTGGGTTCAAGGGATTCTCCTGCCTCAGACTCCTGAGTAGCTGGGATTACAGGCATAAGCCACCACCCCCGCCTAATTCTGTATTTTTAGTAGAGACAGGGTTTCTCCATGTTGGTTAGGCTGGTCTCAAACTCCCGACCTCAGGTGATCCGCCCGCCTCAGCCTCCCAAAGTGCTGGGATTACAAGTGTGAGCCACCACGCCAGGCCCAGGACTTCTGATCTAAACACTGCTCTTACTCTCAACATCCTATCATTCACTCTGCATGGAGAAGCCAAAATAATCTTTTAAAAGCACATCTGGAGGCCAGGCGTGGTGGCTCACACCTGTAATCCCAGCACTTTGAGAGGCCAAGGCGGGCGGATCACGAGGTCAGGAGATCAAGACCATCCTGGCTAACATGGTGAAACCCCGTCTCTACTAAAAACACGAAAAAATTAACCGGGCGTGGCAGCATGCACCTGTAGTCGCAGCCACTTGGAAGGCTGAGGCAGGAGAATGGTGTGAACCGGGAGGCAGAGCTTGCAGTGAGCTGAGATCGTGCCACTGCACTCCAGCCTGGGCGATAGACAGACTCTGTCTCAAAAAAAAAAAAGCAAACAAACGCATATCTGGTCGTGTCTCTCTCACCCTTCGAGGCCTTCCCCAGCTGCCACTACCCACCATAAAGAAGCCCCATGCCAGGCATGGTGGCTCACACTGTAATCTCAACACCTCAGGAGGTTAAAGTGGGAGGATTAGTTGTGCCCAGGAGTTGGAGACCAGCCTGGGCAATATAGTGAGATCCCCATCTCTACAAAAAATTTAAAAATTAGCTGAATGTGGTGCCAGTCTGGGCAATATAGTGAGATCTCCATCTCCACAAAAATTTTAAAAATTAACTAAGTGTGGTGGTGTGTGCTTTTGGTCCCAGCCACCTGGGAGGCTGAGGCTGCAGTGAGCTGTGCACTCCAGCCCGGGTGACAGAATGAGACCCTGTCTCAAAAAAAAAAAAAAGAGAGAGAAAAAGGGGCCGTGGGGGTGGCTCACGCTTATAATCCCAGCATGTTGGGAGGCTGAGGCAGGTGGATCATGAGGTCAGGAGATCAAGACCATCCTGACTAACACAGTGAAATCCCATCTCTACTAAAAATACAAAAAATTAGCCGGGAGTGGTGGTGCGCACCTATAGTCCCAGCTACTCGGGAGGCTGAGGCAGGAGAATCACTTGAACCCAGGAAGCTGAAGTTGCAGTGAGCCGAGATCACACCACTGCACTCCAGCCTGGGTGACAGAGCGAGACTCTGTCTCAAAAAAAAAAAAAGAAAGAAAAGAAACCCCAACCCCTTCAACAACTACACAGGAGGTGCCCTTGCCAATCTCTCCTGCATCTGGACCACTCCGTTCCTTACCCACTAAGTCACAGCTACACTGGCCCGTCTGGTCCTTGAACATGCCAAGCTTATTCCCACCACAGGACCTTTGCGCTTGCTAATCTAGTTTCTCAATTGTTCTGCATGCCAATTTTTACACAGCTGGCTGCACCTTGTTTTTGAGATCTCAGTGTATAAGTTGCTTCACCACCACAATGCTTTTCCAGGTCCCCTCAATCACAGTCTGTTTGTTAGTAACACTTCTCACTACTTGAAATGACACTCTCTGTTTACTTCTTTATTGTCTGTATCTCCCATAGAGTGTAAACCCTCAAGAGCAAGGACGTTGTCTGCATCTACCTTTGGGACTGGTACTAAACAGTCACTCAATGTTTGTTTGTTGAATGAATGAGTCCAGGCCCCAGATCCTCAAAAGACTCAGTACCTGGTAGTCATCTTCTTCATCCTCACTCTCATCTGAGTCTAGAGATTTCTTCTCCTTTTTGGGGTCACCTGCAGCCCCATCTCCACCTTCTTTTTGCTCCTCTTCTTCCTGTTTCAGAAATGGACAACCTGCAGAATCAAAAATGCAAAACAAATCCCCAAGACTGTGACCCCATCACCCCCCAGACTGTGGACCTTGAGAAATCAAGCCTCTGGAAGGATGGAACCAAGGATGACAAGGGTCCTACTGTGACCCTGGCCCCCAAGGAATGGGACCTCGGCCAGACACAGGCAGCCTACGCACTCAGCACCAAAGCTTAGAGGCCATTCCCATAGTCCAGCAAGCCCCTCACACAGCCACGGAAGGCCCTGCTCCCCTTCCTAACCCAGCCACCTCAGCAGCCAGGGTGAGAAGTTTGTTTCCTGGAGTCAGAAGGACTCAGCCACCAGGCTGAAAACCACCGTCCTGCTCAGCTCCCACCTGCCACATGCAGCTGCCAAATCATGCTGGCATTCCCAGGCAAGTCCTCCCCGCTCTCCACTCCACTCCATGGCAAGCCATCCCCCCGACCCACCCACACAGGTGACCTCCTGCACCAGCTTCCCAGAACAATACCTCAGAAGGTTGCTTCCCTCCACCTTTCTTGCCTTCCCACCAAAAACGTCCCTTACAGAAACCTCATGTCCTTCATCTCCTGGCACTTGCCCACACATTCTCCATGTCCTGCTCAGCTGCCGGCTCCCCCAAGGACCCCTCCTAGACCCCACAGCTGGATGTGGCCTTTTCCCTCTTGAGGCTCCTGGGGCATGTCACGGCTGTGTACCCATCTGGCCCTGACTGCTCCCTTAGGCCCTTGATCCAGGCATCAATCTAATGATGTGGTAAGGATGCAGATGCTGACAATGGGAACGTATTCTATTTCCTAACAGTGGCCTGGACAATGTACTATGGGAGCAGAGGAGAGGGAACGACTAAATCAGCTCTGGCTGGAGGGGAGGCACAAGTCACAGAGGAGGAGAGGCTAAACAACGTCTCCAGGGATGGAGAGCACGCTGCTGATGGGGGTGTGGGAAGTCAGGGCACATGTCATGTGCAGTGTGGCAAATCGTCCTGTGTGGTTGCAGCAGACAAGCAGGGGTGCTGGGAGCGTGAGCTGTGAATGGACAGGGCCTGCAGGAGGGACAGCCTCCAGAAAGTAGGTGCACAAGACCAAGAACAGGGCCCCACTAAGGCAGCTGCTGCAGAGCAGCCACAGTTCTTTCTAACTCATCCAGGCAGAGGATGCCCATGCCCTGACTGTCATTGGTTGTTCTGAGACTCACACCTGGGGCTCACTGCCCTCCCGACCGCCACGTGCTGGCTTGTCCCTGCGAATGGGTAGTCCTTGCCTGGCCTCTCTGTGAACCAAATTAGCAGAGCACCACCCTGGGCCACTGGCGTGGCCTGGACAAGCACGTACTCACCCTGGCCTTCTGCTTCTCAGCCTGCAGCTGTGCGTCGATCTCCTCAGGGCTCGTATACTGCCTCGCCCGGCCTTTGTGGCCTCCCTTTCTCCCTGCAGGGACCCGCAGTTTAGAAGGTGAGGGGGGAGGCAGCTGCCTCGACTGTTCTGACCTCCCAAGGGCTGTGTCCTGCTTGGAGTGCTCTCATCAGAGGCCACAGAGGCCTCACCTACCCCTCACCCAGCACCACCCAAACCAACACCTCCTCCACCCTGTGTTCAGAGGCACACAGGAAGCAACTTGTGACCATCTGATGCATCACCAAACTGTATACTAAATGATGGCTCCCACACAGAAGACCGGAGGGGAGGACATGGCGGACGGTGCACTGCAGTGACTGGCTACATCCCCTGGTCCCTTACAATCCAAGCATAGTGGACTCAGATGCAACCACAGAAACATGTACCACTTACACCCCTGAGGTCACTATAAGGGCTTTTTACGCAATGTCTGGTCACAGCCAGGGGCGTATTTTTTTTTTTTATTTTTTCTGAGACGGAGTCTCGCTCTGTCGCCCAGGCTGGAGTGCAGTGGTACAATCTCGGCTCACCGCAACCTCCGCCTCCCTGGTTCAAGCGATTCTCCTGCCTCAGCCTCCCAGGTAGCTGGGACTACAGGCGTGGGCCACTATGCCCAGCTAATTTTTGTATTTTTAGTAGAGACGGGGTTTAACCTTGTTGGCTGGCCAGGATGGTCTCAATCTCTTGACCTCGTGATCCGCCCACCTCAGCCTCCCGAAGTGCTGGGATTACTAGTGTGAGCCACCATGCCCGGCCAGCCAGGGGCACATTTGATCCTCAGAACAAACCTATGGTACAGGAGTGATAGCTGGTCCCATTTCATAGACCAGGAGACTTAGACCAAAGCAGAGTGCTGAACACCATGAAGTTTAGAGTCTGACTCCCAGGTTCTACGCTTACTGGCTTGATGACTTTGGGCAGGTATTTAACCTCTCAGTCTCAGTTTCCTCATCTGTGTCCCTACCTCACAGGGTTGTCACAAAGATAGATGAATTTATCAATATACAGAAAGCTGCTGGAACAGTGCCTGCTACTGAATAAGCACTACAAAAATATTCGCTAATAGCCGGGCACGGCAGCTCACGCCTGTAATCCTAGCACTTTGGGAGGCTAAGGCAGGCAGATCACTTGAGGTCAGGAGTTCAAGACCAGCCTGGTCAACATGGTGAAACCCCCTCACTACTAAAAATACAAAAATTAGCTGGGCATGGTGGCACATGCTTGTAATCCCAGCCACTTGGGAGGCTGAGACAGGAGAATCGCTTGTACCCGGGAGGCAGAGGTTGCAGTAGCCAAGACTGCGCCACTGCACTCCAGTCTGGAGTGCACTCCAGACAGAGCAAGACTCTGTCTCAAAAAAATTAAAAAAACAAAAAAAATAGCTAATGGTTACTTTCCCCTCTAATCTAGTATTTGGTGGAAAAACAACAGCAACAACAAAAACCACCACTGAGCACATAAGCAATTTACTGCAGATATCAGAAATACAATAAAATACCTCGTGTTCATCTTAGTAGTTTGGCAAAAACAGAATACTTAAGGCAAAAAAAAAAACCAACCCTACAGGCAAAAACTTTGTGCTTAGACTTAGAAATGATTGGCAAAGAACAACTGAAAACAAACCTGACTACACAGTCTTAAAAGTTAAAAATGTGCCTAGCAATTAAAGTGTCGGTTTTATAGTCTGACCCTCTTCAGCCGGGACACCAGGCTGACCCTTGCTAAAGCCATCAGCCAGTTCTAAAGCAGGATGGCATCCCCCTCTGCTGGTCCCCGAGTATGCAGGGGTGGCTGTGGCCTCGACTTCCACACACGACCGCTCCTGGAAGCTGAGGCCCACCTGATTTCCAGAGTCTGTCTCTGAGCAGAGACTCTGTAATCAGCCAGAGTTGCTCTGCACTCCAGAGGCGGTAGCAGAGATACTGGTCTCCTGATTCCTTACAGCAGCTGCAGAGCCATAATTGGGCTGCTACAGACCACACCACCCATTTTTAATGACTACCTAGATTCCCAGGGGTGTCTAAGTATATGCTTACTAAAGTCCTATTGTGAGACAGCAAGTGTGCCAAGAAAAAAACCAACACCCTTTCTTGCTCTCTTAATACACCAGGCAACATTAACAACTCGAAATTTAAAAAACACTTTGCAGTTAACATAATGCAAACAAGAGTTGGTCCTTTGCTCTTGGGGAGTTTGATACTTTTAACACCTTCACGGTTTTTTGCGGTTTTCGGATTAACCCAAGAAAACGTACACCTTGTCTACCCAAAAAAGCTTTTCACAAGCCCAAAGACCATTTAGCTATGAATTCATGTTTAAGGTTTTCTAATCGTAACCTCCAACCTTTGCCTAAAGTATCCATTAAGTAAAACTTTGGAAGGAGGATGGCTCATTCAGCAACCTCCTTTTACAGATGAAGGGACTGGGGAACAATAGCAGAGAGACTTCCAGCCACAGAATAAATCAGTAGAGAGCTAGATTGAAACACATTTAGCTCTGTAATGCCCAATTATCTCTGGAGTCAGGAAGCGATTTAGGTTTGAAAACGCTCCAGGCAGATGTTTCTGTGGGTTGAGTGCATTAACCAACATAACACATGAGCTACCAATACAAATATATTTGTTTTGTAGCCAGGCACTCTGTGAGCGCTATCATTTTACCACCCCAGCCCCAACTCACCCAGCTAAGGATTAGCCCAGTGTTTCAGATGAAAGGGAGGTTAACTTGTTCACGACCACAGAATTAGACAGTGACATAGCTGGGATTCAAATTGGGGAATATCGATTCTAAAGGGGGAAACAGGATAGAAGACGGGCTACAATGGACTGGGCAGTCATGGACCTTCTTAGAAGGCCAAAAGCTGGCAAAGCCTTAAAAATAGAACTGGGCACTTTTAACGACTGCCTGGCACTGTACTGCCCACTCCACATGGATTACCTAGTTGAAGCCTCCCAACAGTACTACGAGGTCGGTACAATCGTTATTCCCATTGACAAAAGAGAAAACGGAGACACAGGAGGTGGAGCGACTGGCTCAAAGGAACACACCGAGCCGTTACCGAACAGGGGAGTCGAAACCAGGTCTGCAAGGCTCATGGGCATCGCCTTAAGTCTTCCTACGCAGGCCTGGCTGAACCGAAGCCAGAAAAGGCCCACGTTTTACGCGAGAGGCAGGCGGGCCCGGCACAAGCGCGGGACGCGGTGACTCAGTTCCCAGCCAGCCTAAAAGTGGGATAAATTCCAGAACCCCTGAGCCCGGAGAAGCGCATCCTAGATCCGGGTTTCTAAGCTGGCCAGGACCCAGAGCTTCCGAAACTCCTCAGACCACTGACGGAGTGGCTCTTGGACACCACAGTCCTCAGTTTCCCCATCGGGACAATTGGGCGTCGAGGCCCAGGCCTGGCTCTCAGCCAGTGCGGACAGCCTCCCTCTGCGTTGCTCTCACAGACGCCCACGGGCTGAGGGGACAGCGGGAGGCGGACCCGGGCCGCCCCTCTAGGCCTACGGGACACGCGCGCCCGCCCCTCACCTCCTTTAGGCATCGCGGCTCCGGCGGCTGCGGCGGCGGCGGCGCCTCGAACTGACACCGGAACCGGAAATGTCTTGGGCTCGACTTCTTCCGCCCGGCCCAGTCCCCGCCGCCGCCGCCACCACCTCAGTGGCCGCAGTGGCCGCAAGGACCCGGACCTCAGGGAGGGCCCCGCACGGAGTCGGACTGTCCTGCGCGCCGCCTGAGTCCAGGCTTGCCCGCGCGCTGCCAGGCAACAACGCCCCCAGTCTCTCCGTTCGGGGAGACGCGTGGCCCTGCCGGCCACTCACCGGAAATGAGGGCAAAAGGCAACAGCGACTCTGGAATTCTATACAGGCATTGCTGAGGACACCTAAGATGACGCAATCTCTGCGCGGGATGGGCGGGGCTCCGCGAGGACCTCATGCCTCAGAGCTCGCCTGAGGAGCGGAAGCCGTCAGTCGAGAAGCAGCTACCCAAGGTCCCGTAGGTTCCGGTAGGTGTTTTCCCTCTGTTCTCGATTACCTTGGCAACGGCCGAGGCGGGAGACCCGTGGTCTGCACCGTCCTGGAGGGCGATCTGAGTGGCTGAACTCTCAGCCAGCCACTGGGATGTGTTCGGGCTTTGGACCTTGAGGTCGGAGAGAGTCCCGAGAGGAGGCGGCGCCCCTGTTCATTCTGAGGGGCGGTAGATTTGAGGGTTTTCTTCTAGGATTCTCACGCCGTTTTCTCTGGTAGGAACGTCTTCTGTCTAAATACTGATTGTTTTTCTAAGCCAGGTTCAGGTGCTGTCCTTTTTATGAGTTTTCCCCACAGTCCCGCACTAATACCTTCCTTCATTCCTCCTCCCCTCCTTCTCCGGGCGCCGCTGTCTCTCCTACACCTCCCGGCACATCTTTCTTCTCGATCTGATTACCTCCTACCTCCTCTTTTCTCCTCGATCTGGTTACCGCGTACCATTTCCACCTCCGGGAGGCCTCTTCTGACTCCCAGGCTGGATCAGGGCCCTCGAATTTCCCTGGGTCATAGAAAAGCGATCATTCTCTCGTCACAGGCTATGCGCCTTGGGGCCGAGACCAGAACTCACCTGTATCTAGCTTCAGCGTAGGGGAGACTAGTGCGAAGACCGCTGATTTGGGAGTCAGGGGCCCTCCAGAGTCAGGCTTTGCAAATTCCCAACTGTGTGACCCTGAGTCTACCTTCTAGAGTTTGATTCCTCATCTATATGGTGGTTTTAGAGAGTTCATGAGAGGAAGCTCTGGGGGGGGATTTCTTAGATACCTTACAGAAGGGAGTGACTGAATGAATTTGAGAGAGATGAATCTGTTTTGCTGAAACGTAAATACTTAACCTGGATTCTCTCTGGCAGCAAGGAAATGCTGTGTGGTTTGAAAAACGCTTTGCTATTTAGATTTGGATTGGCCTCTTATATGGGAACTACCTGACGTGTCTTTATGGAATATGTTGTTTGGTGTGAAAGAGACCTTGGCAACAGCTAATTCACTGCCCTCATTTTACAGATGAAACCGAGGACCAGAGAGGGAAAGTGGCCTCAAACTCACAGAGTAATTTTTTAGAGCTGGACAAGAATCCAAGCCTGCAACTGCAGAGACCAGAGATCTTTCTGCTGTCTATACTCTTGGGAGGCACATCCTAAGGTACTTTGATTTTACAACCATCGTTCCCTTTTTATTTTATGTTTTGTTTCGTTTTGTTTGTTATTGGGACATAGTCTCACTCTGTCACTTAGGCTGGAGTGCAGTAGTGTGACATGGCTCACTGCAGCCTTTCAACCTCCTGGGCTCAAGTGATCCTCTTGCCTCAGCCTTCCTTGTAGCTCAGATCACAGGCATCCACTGCCGTGCTCAGTTAATTTGTCTTTTTTTTTTTTTTTTTTTCTGTAGAGACAATGTTTCACCTCATTGCTCAGGCTGATCTCAAATTCCTGGGCTCAAGCGAACCTCCCACTTCAGCCTCCCAAAGTGCTGGCCAAGACCAGAATTACAGGCATGAGCCACCGCGCCTGGCCTTCCATCTTTGCCTTTTTAAATACTCACCCCCATGGCTCCCTGAGTCACAGCCCTCCTTATACTCTATTGTAATTGCTTTTTCTCTTGTCTGTCTTTTTGCTAAAATGTCACCTTCTGAGGGGCAGAGGCTGTGCCTTAACTATTTGTTCTGTGTTCCCAACATCCAGTATAGGGTTAAGCTTGTAGCTGAAGTTAGCTAATGACAACAGCAAATGTCTCTTAGGCACACATTATCCACCAGGCATGATAGATACAATTATAATGAAGTCTTTGCAATGACCACATAAGGTAGCTTCCATTATCCCCATTTTACAGATGAGGAAACAGAGACTTAGGAAGGTTAAGTACCTTTCTGAAGATCACAGCGGGTAAGTAGCAGAGCCAGGATTTGAACACAGTCTGGGTGCTGAGCCCTGTCCCATAGCTGTGACCTTGTGCTGACTCAAGGAAGTCAGCCTGTACTAAAATAATGACTGACAAAGGCCTTTGGCGATTTGAGACTCAGAAACCAATTCATTTTTTCCCCCCAGATCTTTGCAAATTATCCGGTGGAAGGAAAATGCCTAAAGTCAAAAGAAGCCGGAAAGCACCCCCAGATGGCTGGGAGTTGATTGAGCCAACGCTGGATGAATTAGATCAAAAGATGAGAGAAGGTGAGTAGGGGAGTTCCTGTCTGGGTGGGCTGGGTCCAAGGGTCAAAGGCTTAGATGCCCCCAGGGGACAGGCATAAATGCAAATGTAAAAAGAGGGTGGTCTACTAACACTGAGCTGTTGTGTTTGCTTATGAACTCATGGAAAGTGCCCAAAACTAAGATAACGTTAATGAAAAGGTCCTCAAAAAGCCTTTTTTTTTTCCAATTTGAATATAAAAGGTTATGAAATATAGATCAGATAGTCTACCTATAGTTATTTACTATTTTGGTTAGATGTATATTTAAAATCATACAAAATATATTTACTTGGAAGTGCTATTCCTTTTCAGTCTCATTGGTCTTTGCAGCATCTGTTTTCTGTCACTTCCGTGTAAATGGCGTGTGAACCTGCTTTGTGAACCCATGTCCTATGCTGTCTTTGGAAACCGGAAATTTTATCTGAAGCCACAAGCATCTGTTTGCCTTAAATGATCACAGTGTGACTACTTAACCAATTTACTGTTTTTTTTGAAATGGAGTCTTGCTCTGTCTTCCAGGCTGCAGTGCAGTGGCGTGATCTCGGCTCACTGCAACCTCTGCCTCCCGTGTTCAAGCAATTCTCCTGCCTCAGCCTCTCAAGTAGTTTGAATTACAGGCACGCGCCACCATGCCCGGCTAATTTTTGTATTTTTAGTAGAGATGGGGTTTCTCCATGTTGGCCAGGCTGGTCTCCAACTCCTGGCCTCAAGTGATCCACCCACCTTGGCCTCCCAAAGTGATGGGATTACAGGTATGAGCCACTACACCTGGCTGAAGTTACTGTTTAAAGTAACTTTTGAAATGCCTGCTTGTAACTAACCTAATCATGTCTATTATGAGGTCGTGCGTCCAGCAGTAATTACTAAATTAGTGTTAAATTACTTTGCCCCTTTTTAAAAAAATTCTGTTGTTACCGGATACCTTCTATTAAATACTCAGAACTTGCTTTGCGATTTAGATTTGGATGGGCCTGTTGCAGTAATCATGGTCATTCTGGGCTGAGAGATTTCTTCCCCAAACAGCTCTTTATCAAAATAAAGGAAATGGGAGCGTGCTGGAATAGAAAAGATTTTGCGAGTCCTTGAAAGTAAATTAACTTCATTTTCTAAAAGGTGACTTTTGAGGGGAGGAGGAACCTTACTTTGTGTTTAGATATTCTTTACCTCCAGAAAGAAGTATTCTTTGTTCTGTTTTTCTTCTTTTTGTTTTTGTTTTGAGACGGTCTCACCTTGTTGCCCAGGCTGGAGTGCAGTGGTTCAATCACAGCTCACTGAAGCCTCCACCTCCCAGGATCAGGTGATCCACCCACCTCAGCCTTCCAAGCAGCTGGGACTACAGGCATCCACTGCTGCACTTGGCTAATTTTTCTTTTTTTTGAGATGGAGTCTCGCTCTGTCGCCCAGGTTGGAGTGCAGTGGCACGATCTCGGCTCATTGCAAGCTCCGCCTCCCAGGTTCATGCCTTTCTCCTGCCTCACCCTCCCGAGTAGCTGGGACTACAGGCACCCGCCACCACGCCCAGCTAATTTTTTGTATTTTTAGTAGAGACGGGGTTTCACCGTCTAAGCTAGGATGGTCTCGATCTCCTGACCTCGTGATCCACCCGCCCCGGCCTCCCAAAGTGCTGGGATTACAGGAGTGAGCCACCGCCCCTGGCCTGTGCTTGGCTAATTTTTCGTAGAGATGGGGGTGTGTTAGTCTGTTTTCATGCTACTGATAGACATACCTGAGACTAAGCAATTTACAAAAGAACGAGATTTAATGGACTGACCGTTCCATGCGACTGGAGAGGCCTCACAATCATGGCAGAGGCCAAGGAGGAGCAAGTCACATCTTACATGTGCACCTGCTGAATCCTGACTTCCTGCTTTTCTACTTGGATCACAGCATTCTGTTTGTTGAGCTGAATTGTAACACCTAGGTAATTGAATGGCTTAAAAGCTGGAGACAGGGAGGCACAGTCTCCTTGACCACTCCTCGCCCTTCTGTTCTTTCCTAAAAACTGAGGAGTTCACAGACAAAGATGAACTTCTGACTGCTAAGAGAGAACTGCCTTGTGGCGAGTATGAGTGCCACCTGATCCTGCATGTGTTGAAGGATCAGCTTCTCCTGCGGCCACTTCGCTGAGAACCTGTCGACTGGTCTAGTTTATTTGTCTTTTCCTCAGCCCTAAAGGACTTTGGCTGGGAGATGAAATTAGAGGTGCCTTCGGGATGATTAGGATGCCCATCTGTGGGCCTAGAATTATCTTGAGAAATTACTGTGCTGTAGAACTAGATCTGAAAGCATAGGGACCAAGGTTGGTTTTTTGGCTTTTTTTTTTTTTCTGAGACAGGGTCATCTGTTATCCAGGCTGGAGTGCAGTGGCACAATCTCAGCTCACTGCAACCTCCGCTTCCCGGGTTCAAGCACTTCTCGTGCCTCAGTCTCCCAAGTAACTGGGATTATAGGCATGTGCCACCATGCCCAGATAATTTTTGTATTTTTAGTAGAGACAGTGTTTCGCCATGTTGGCCAGGCTGTTCTCGAACTCCTGACCTCAAGAGATCCATCCACCTTGGCCTCCCAAAGTGCTGGGATTACAGGCGTGAGCCACCGAGCCCAGCCGGGACTAACCTTTTAACAGAAGTTACCATTGAATGATCTTTTTAAAAATCTATGTTTTCTAATTCTGTAATTAAAAAGATTTTTTTTTCTTGTCACACAGGTAATGTGCCAACATTGTGACAAAGTTTGAGAGTGGCATGTCTCACACATGGATGTGAACACCCAATCATCACACTCATGAATTACAAAAGGATCCAAAAATAGACATTTTTAATTTAAAACAAGTATGTTTAAATTACTTAGCTTACTTTTTATTTATTTATTTTTTTTTGAGATGGAATCTCACACTGTTGTCTAGGCTGGAGTGCAGTGGTGTGATCTCTGCTCATTGCAACCTCTACCTCCCGAGTTCAGGCAATTCTCCTGCCTCAGCCTCCTGAGAAACTGGGATTACAAGCGTGCACTACCACGCCTGGCTAATTTTTAAATTTTTAGTAGTGATGGGGTTTCACCATGTTGGTCAGGCTGATCTTGATCTCCTGACCTCATGATCTGCTGACCTTGGCCTCCCAAAATGCCCAGTGGCTTATTTTTATTAAATAACAGCTTTATTGAGATACTAATCATATACTATGAAAGTCATCCTGTTAAATTATCCAATTAAGGAGTTTTTAGTATATTCACAAAGTTGTGCGACCAGTCAATTTTATGTTTCAAGGTTCATCTGTGTTGTAGAATACATCAGTACCTAACTTCATTCCCTGTTTTTTTTTTTTTTTTTTTTTTTTTTTTTGATACTGCATCCTTCCCCTCAGGGTTCAAACGATTCTCCCACCTCAGCCTCCCAAGTAGATGGGATTACAGGCACGCACCATCATACCCTACTAATTCTTTTGTATTTTTAGTAGAGATGGGGTTTCACCATGTTGACCGGGCTGGTCTCAGACTCCTGACCTCAAGTGATCTGCCCATCTCAGCCTCCCAGAGTGCTGGGATTACAGGTGTGAGCCACTGAGTCCAGCCAGCCCTGTTTAACTTCTTGAGGAGCCACCTAACTCTTTTCTGCAGTGGTTCCACCATTTTACATTCCAACCAGGAACTTAGGAGACTTCCAGTTCCTCCACTTCCTTGCCAACACTTGTTATTGTGCCATAGTTTTGATTATAGCTATCCTAGTGGGTATAAAGTGGTATTTATTCATTATCACTAGTTATTTACAAAAAGAAAATCCTGCGCAGACCGACCCTGTTCCCCCAAACACACACTTTGTTTCTCCCCAGCTGAAACAGAACCGCATGAGGGAAAAAGGAAAGTGGAATCTCTGTGGCCCATCTTCAGGATCCACCACCAGAAAACCCGCTACATCTTTGACCTCTTTTACAAGCGGAAAGCCATCAGCAGAGGTAATTAGTCAGTCTCTCTTGGCCTTTCAAACTCAAGTCACTTTTGGAGTTACTGAGCTAACTACAATCCTTATTCTCACAACTTCTGCAAGTCATGGTTTTTCTTATCACTAAAAATAAAGGGGAGCCAATGTTGGCTGAGTTGTGTGTGTGTGTGTGTGTGTTTGAGATGGTGTCTCACTGTCACCCAGGCCTGGAGTGCAGTGGCACGATCTTGGCTCACCGCAAGCTCTGCCTCCTGGGTACAAGCGATTCTCCTGTCTCACCTCCCAAGTAACTGGGATTACAGGCACCCGCCACCACACCTGGCCAATTTTTGTATTTTTAGTGAAGATGGGGTTTACCATATCGGTCAGCCTGGTCTCAAACCCCTGACCTCAGGTGATCTACCCGACTCGGCCTCCCAAAGTGCTGGAATTACGGGCATGAGCCACCACTGTTGGCTTTGTTTTTTTTTTTAAATGAAACAGGGTCTTGCTCTGTTCCCTAGGCTGGAGTGTAGTGGTACAATCATGGCTCACTGCAGCCTCAACCTTCTGGGCTCAAGGGATCCTCTCACCTCAGCCTCCTGAGTAGGTGGGACTACAGGTGTGCACCACCCCACCCAGCTAATTTTTAAATCTTTTGTAGAGATGGACCCTTGCTATGTTGCCCAGGCTGGTTTAACTCAAGTGATCCTCTGGCGTTGGCTTCCAGAAGTGCTGGGATTACGCCACCTTGCCTGGCCTAAATACTTTTTTTTGGTTCCTCCTCCAAGGACTGTCCCACTGCAATACTGAATGCTTTTTTTTTTTTTTTTTTTTTTTTTTTTTTTGAGATGGAGTTTCACTCTGTCACCCAGGCTGGAGTCCAGTGGCATGACCTCTGGTCAGTACCACCTCTGCCTCCTGGGTTCAAGCGATTCTCCTGCCTCAGCCTCCTGAGTAGCTGGGATTACAAGTGCCTGCCATCACGCCCAGCTAACTTTTGTATTTTTAGTAGAGACGGGGTTTCACCATGTTGGCCAGGCTGGTCCGGAACTCCTGACCTCAGGTGATCCGCCCGCCTCGGCCTCCCAAAGTGCTGGGATTACAGGCGTGAGCCACCGCGCCCAGCCTGAATGCTCTTTTTGATCAAGGGTGGGGAAGGTTTTTAGAACATGGTCTGATGCTCTTTCCCCATCTTTTTGACAGAACTCTATGAATATTGTATTAAAGAAGGCTATGCAGACAAAAACCTGATTGCAAAATGGAAAAAGCAAGGGTATGAGAACTTGTGCTGCCTGCGGTGCATTCAGACAAGGGACACCAACTTCGGGACGAACTGCATCTGCCGTGTGCCCAAAAGCAAGCTGGAAGTGGTAATGTCTGACACACACGCTTGATGTTATTTTCAGCTCAAAAGCTCTAGTCGACTCCAAGGGATCTTACGTTATTTGGTTGGGCTGAAATGTCGTTTTGTCCCTGGATGTCCTGCTGGCTCTCCCTCACGGGAGTGGGTCCCTTTGTTCAGGAATCTGTGTGAGGCAGCGTGTGGCTGTGAGTGTATTTGTTAGGTCTGGGGCCAATCTCAACTCCACCTTTGGGCAAATTACTGAACCCCTTTCCTCACTTAGGAAATGGTGGTGAGGAGCCCTAATCCCGAGATGGTGGCAGGGTGACATCAGGGAAGGGTGGCCACTGAGTTCCTGTCCCTTCCCCTCAGTCCTCACAGTGATACTTCAACATTACCATCACTGTTTTTCCCCCCGCCCCCCGAGACGGAGTCTTGCTCTGTCGCCCAGGCTGGAGTGCAGCAGCGCCATCTTGACTCACTGCAACTTCTGCCTCCTGGGTTCAAATGATTCTCCTGCCTCAGCCTCCGGAGTAGCTGGGATTACAGGCGCCCGCCACCATGCCCGGCTAATTTTGTATTTTTAGTAGAGACGGGGTTTCTCCATGTTGGTCAGGCTGATCTTGAACCCCCAACCTCAGGTGATCTGCCCGCCTCAGCCTCCCAAAGTGCTGGGATTACAGGCATGAGCTACTGCGCCCAGCCCACTATTTCTTCTTTCAGAACTTTCTGTTCCAAGTACCACTCCTAGGCCAGGCACCTCAGGAGTGGTGCCGAGGGACAGGAGCTGAGCTCTATCTGGCCCCAGGCCCCTCTGAAAGGCAGCTGTGGCCTCGGCACACAGTTGTTGGCTCAGCTGGGAGATCAGGCCCCATGGCCCATCTGCCAGCCTGGCCTTCTTGTCCCCAGCTCCACACAGGTGCCTCTTCACACAGGTCCCTTCATGCTGCAGTGAGACAATGGAGAGCTGCGGCTGGATGTGAGGACTTGTGTACTGAGCAGTGGGGGCGAGCAAGGGCCGCCTCCCCGCGGAAAGACTAGGGTGTTGGTTTTCTGATGGAGGCAGGGAGGGGTGGCAGAGTGGCAGAGTGGCAGAAGCCACCCCTCCCCTGAGTGCCCACATTCCACAAGGGATCCAGGTCGGGGAGCTAGTGGACTGGGGTGCTGCTTCAACCCAGTGGCCATAATAGCCTGCTGTAGACTTACCTGGGTTTCATCAGAGGATCCTGTTTACTTCAACTACGGTCTTGCTCCTCCAAAAAAAGAACTGAAAAAGTAAAATCAACACAAGCCACTGTTCTAGGGCTTTCTGGCCAGCCAAGCATTGGGCCACACCAGGCCTGGGGGACAAGACCCTTCTTTCTGGAGGGCTCTGGGCCAGAAGGGTGTAACTCAAGTGCATAGCCTCCTGCCCTCTTCCCCACCAGAGTGTCCCAGCCCACAGGCTGCCCTGAAGTCCCCAAACAGTAGCAGAGCCACCTCTGCTTATTGCAGGGTCTGTCATGCTCACTTAGGGGAATAACGAGACTCATTCACACCGATTTCATTTCTTTTTCTTGATTGGCAAACGTGTGTTGGATTTGCATAACATATTATAACTACACATACAGATGTAACCTTGGTATCAATAGCAGCTGTTTCCACCTTCATGAGGGAGCCAAATTTTCCGTCCAGAGCTGTCACAGAAGGGTTTCTGAGGTGTGTCCCTATATGGCATGGTGGCAGAGGGTTGCCACATATGTGAGTGTGCAGGGACGAGTGTGGCGCAGTGGCATCATCTCAATGTCCTCCTCCATTGCAGGGCCGCATCATCGAGTGCACACACTGTGGCTGCCGTGGCTGCTCTGGCTGAGGCTGGCGCTCTCCACCCTGGACTCTGGACTTCGCAGGTTCCTGCCTGTGGCGCCACCCCCTTCCTGGGAGCAGCGAGCAGTGCCCCAGGCCCGAGTTGGAGCACGGTCTCTACGGGGAAGGCTTCGCTGTCCATCAGCTGTGATTTGTAAAAATAAAATCTTTAAACCTCTCGGGCCCCATGTCTATTCTTTCAGAGCATTGGCCTGTGGAACCCGGCGGGGCGGCACCAGGCCCCAGGGACCAGATGCCCCAGCCCCCTTGTGGTGTGTGAGGTGACACGCAAAGGTACTGGAGCTGGAAGGCCCAAGGTGACATGCGAAAGTGGCTGGAGTTGCCCTTGGACCTGCCGGGAGTGCAGGCACCTTGGGCCTAGCGTGTGTCCTCACACCAACACCCGTGACACACTGCGGCTGTTCCTCAGGGCCTGGCTCTTCCCTCAGGCAGGAGGTGACACCAGCTCACTTGTCCTGGAGCTCCCACAAAGCACTGAAGGCCGAGCACTGAAGCCAGGTTCAGCTGTGCTCCCATCACCTGCCCCCAAGGGTACATCCGTCCACATCGGCCTCCTTGCCGGGGTCCTGGTCCTCCTGGGGCTTGGTCCGGAACTTCTGCCAGGGGTGTGGGGTTTCCTCTGCAGGCATCACTGTCAACCAATGCTTGTAGTAGGCTCGGAAGCCGTCAATCTTCGCCAGGTAGGTGTTCCTCCCTTGGTACTGGAATTAGAAAAGCGAGGCTAGAATCACTCCTGTTACCTACAGCTAATCCCAAACCTTGGCAGCTGGCTCAGGCCTCAGGGAAGCTGGTAGCTGCCATTTTCCCTTCCAGGTGGCTGCAGGGGACAGGGCAGAAAAGCTGTGAACACGCACTACGGGAGTAGCTTACTTCAGAGAAACAGGTCCCAGCTGGGTACCCTGGGGCAGGCCCAGAGCCATCTGCCTAACAGCGTTCTTCCCAAACCCTCCATCCGCACTTACCACCCCACGCCCCCAAGCTGGAATCACTGGGTCCCACCTGCCTCCACAGCGTGCCGAGCCCCTCCCCCTCAAAGCCACCTCCCTCTGACCATCATCTCAACACTGCCGAGATAGGCTCCATGGAGATATGGGGAAAAAAGAAAAGACGCACCAGACAGAAACTGAGAGCTGGCAGGGGAATGTACCAAAAAAAAAAAAGCCAAAAAGTACTATCTGACATACTACTACCACGCGGTGACAAAAGGTTTGGCAGCGTGCGGTGGCTCATGTCTGTAATTCCAGCACTTTGGGAGGCTGAGGTGGCAGATCACTTGAGGTCAGGAGTTCGAGACCAGCCTGGCCAGCATGGTGAAACCCCGTCTCTACTAAAAATGCTGGATGTGGTGGTACACGCCTGTAGCCCCCAGCTACCTGGGAGGTTAAGGCAGGAGAATGGCTTGAACCCGGGAGGCGGAGGTTGCAGTGAGCTGAGATCACACCATTGCACTCCAACTTGGGCAACAGAGCAAGACTCCGTCTCAAAAAAAAAAAAAAAAGAAAAGGTTTGACTCAAAAGACTGAACAATTCTAAACCTTAAGGTGCCGGATAGAGCCTGAAAGCACAGAAAGCAAAACTCAACAGAATCACGAATATAAACAAGGCCACTATCGTGAGGGAATATGAGTACAGATGCTCCTGACACCACGGTTCCACCCCCAAAAACCCACCCTAAATCAAAAATCAATCTGGCTGGGCATAGTGGCTCACTCCTGTAATCCCAGTTCTTTGGGAAGCCGAGGCAGGTGGATTACATGAGCTCAGGAGTTCCAGACCAGTTTAGGCAATATAGTGAAACCCTGTCTAAAAGATTAGCTGGGTATGGTGGTACATGCCTGTAGTCCCAGCTCCTCAGGTGGCTAAGGTGGGAGGACTGCTTAAGCCTGGGAGGTCAAGGCTACAGTGGGCCATGATCGTGCCACAGCACTCCAGCCTGGGCAGCAGAGTGATTCTGTCTCTTTTTAAAAAAAGAAAAAATTCGGAACAGCACGGGGGCTCACACCTGTAATCCCAGCACTTTGGGAGGCTGGGGTGGGTGGATCACGAGGTCAGGAGTTCAAGACAGCCTGGCCAAGATGGTGAAACCCCATCTCTACAAAAAAAAAAAAAAAAAAAAAAAAAACAAAAATCAGTCGGGCGTGGTGGCAGGCGCCTGTAATCCCAGCTACTCGGGAAGCTGAGGCAGGAAAATCGCTTGAACTTCAGCGGCAGAGGTTGCAGTGAGCCAAGATAGCGTCACTGCACCCCAGCCTGGGTGACAGAGTGAGACTCCATCTCATAAAAACAAAAGGAAAATGCATCTATTGCTGGCAACACAGCAGAGGGTCCTGACTTCATAATTATGCAAAAGTGACATACATTCAGTAGAAACTAACCCTTCACAAAGTCGATCCTTACAGAGTTACATCCTGATAAAACTATTGCAAAGTTGAAAAATCCTGTGTAGAACCATCTTTAAGTCGGGGACATCTGTCTGTGACTTAAATACAATATGCTTTAGGCCTGTGATAGTCTTATGACTGTGGAGTTGAACCCCTAGTGAGCCCTACGCCAGCGGGAAGAGACAATCCACTAGGAAGATATGCACAACATGTAATTAACAAAAAACCAGTACCCAGAATGTGTGTGTGTGTGTGTGTGTGTGTGTGTATGTATAAAAACCCTGGAATCAATGAGAAAAGGCTCGCAACCAACGGTTCAAAGCACAGACACACAGTTTAAAAATGCCCAGCTATGGCCGGGCACGGTGGCTCAAGCCTGTAATCCCAGCACTTTGGGAGGCCGAGGCGGGCGGATCACGAGGTCAGGAGATCGAGACCATCCTGGCTAACCCAGTGAAACCCCGTCTCTACTAAAAAATACAAAAAAAAAAAACTAGCCGGGCAAGGGGGTGGGCGCCTGTAGTCCCAGCTGCTCGGGAGGCTGAGGCAGGAGAATGGCGTGAACCCGGGAGGCGGAGCTTGCAGTGAGCTGAGATCCGGCCACTGCACTCCAGCCTGGCCGACAGAGCGAGACTCCGTCTCAAAAAAAAAAAAAAAAATGCCCAGCTATGCCTTCAGCCAGGCACAATCTCCACTGCTGTACCACCCATTTGTAGGAAGCCCTCAAAATGGCATTCAGGTGTGACACCTGCACGGCATTCCTGACCCTGCACCTTCTGGCTGTGTGCGTCCCTGCCCATTTACTGGTCTCCGTCCCATCCGGGTTGTGCTCCAAGCCACAGTGGCTCTGGATGCTCCGGAGGTGCTCAGCACAGAGTGTGACTCGATGGACCCAAAAGCCAAAACCCCAGAGCCTGATATCCTCAGAACAGCAGGAAGAGGCTGTGGCCGTAACAAAGCAGATTCCATGACTCTGCCCTGCTCCTGCTGATACAGGAAGCAGAAAGAAATTATTTGGGCAGATAGTAAGGGCAACAGAGTCCTTGGCAAAATTTCCCTTTTAATAAAAAGCAGCCCCCAAATAATTTCTTTTCTACCAAAGAGCAGCCTGAAAAGTCAAGCTGCAGACATAGATAAGCAAGCTGGAAGCTTGCAGGGGTAAATGCTGGAGGCTGTGCCAATACAAAAAGGTTACCTGGGAGCCAGCTTTGTTCAACATGGGGGCCCCATCTTCCCTTCTTTTGTCGCCATGTAAAGAACCAGGCAACACGGTGCTGGAAACCTTCTGCATAATAAAAGGTTAGGGTGGGGTGCCAGCTTTTATACGAGCTGTGTAAATGGCACACCTGGTCCAACCAATCTTTTGTGTCCTTTGTAAATCAGACACCACCTCCTCAAGCTCATCTATAAAACCTCTGCATTTCATGGTGAAAGCGGCAACCCATTTCTCTGGCATCTCTCTCTGCAGAGAGGTTTTTTTTTTTTTGAGACGGAGTCTCGCTCGGTCGCCCAGGCTGGAGTGCAGTGGTTCGATTTCGGCTCACTGCAAGCTCCACCTCCCGGGTTCATGCCATTCGCCTGCCTCAGTCTCCCAAGTAGCTGGGACTACAGGCGCCTGCCACCACGCCCGGCTAATTTTTTATATTAGAGACAGGGTTTCACCGTGTTAGCCAGGATGGTCTCGATCTCCTGACCTCATGATCTGCCTGCCTCAGCCTCCCAAAGTGCTGGGATTACAGGCATGAGCCACAGCGCCAGGCAAGAGCTCTTCTCTTTCACCTATTAAACTTCAGCTCTTAACCTTTTTTTTTTTCTTTTTTTGAGACCGAGTCTCCATCTATCACCCATGCTGGAGTGCAGTGGTGCAATCTTGGCTCACTGCAACCTCTGCCTCTTGGGTTCAAGTGATTCTTGTGCCTCCTGAGTAGCTGGGATTACAGGTGCCCGCCACTACCCAGCTAATTTTTGTATTTTTAGTAGAGACAGGGTTTCACCACGTTGGTCAGGCTGGTCTTGAACTCCTGACCTCAGGTGATCCACCTGCCTTGGCCTCCCAAAGTGCTGGGATTACAGGCGTGAGCCACAGTGCCCAGCCTTAACCTCACTCTTTTTTTACTTTTTTCTTTTTTTTGAGACAGAGTCACCAGATGTGGTGGGTCACGCCTGTAATCCCAGCACTTTGGGAAGCCAAGGCGGGTGGGAGGTCAGGGGTTCCTAAGAGAAGCTCCTGGACAGTTTCAAGCATGAGAACACAATCCCAAGGGCCAGAACCAGGGTTGGGTGGTGGCGGGGGTTAGAAATGGTGAAGGAGCTGATGAGCTCGAGCTTGGGGCACACACCCGGTCAAAGGTCGGAGGGTACTGGGCTGCAAACTCCAGCTGGCGGATGACCACTTCGTTCACCGGGACCCTGTTCTGCTTCATGTCCTTCAAGATGTTGATGAGATAGGTGTAGTCCAGCTTCCTGACGGCTGCGTTGATGAGGGCGCTGTAGATGTGAGTGTTGGGGGTCACCTGGGACTTCTAGAACACAGGGACATCATAGAATCAGCAAGATGATGGCAGCCATTGGGACCCCGCAGCTCCCACCCTCTGTCAATCAAGCTGGCTCCTGGGACCAGCGGCCACAGCCAACAAGGCAAACCCGGCAGAATGTCCCTCTCCAGCAAGAAAGCCAAGCCCAGCCCCTCTGCTCAGCCCTAAAGAAGCTGCGGAAAAGGACGCCCGTGCTGCTCTCAGACACCGACTGACTCGGGCAGAAAATGATGTGGGAGACACCACCTCCTCGCTCCCTGGGGTGGGTTTCCCCGTGATGGATGGTCACCAGGTGGTGGTCAGCCTAGAAAAGCGTGAGTCTTGGCTAGGTGAGCCAGGCAGGGTCCAGGAAAACAGTCAGAGGGTGATGGACCTGGGGGACCCTGACAACGCAGGACGCAGCCTCTGCTGTGGTCAGATGAAATCCACGCAGCACTAACAATGGGGGCTAGGTGGGAGGCACAGCAGATCTCGGGGGCTTTGAAAACCACCCACGGCTCCCCAGGAATTCTGAGAATCCCTGCCATACCTCTAGAGTGTTGGGGCCGAGGCCTGTCCCCAGCCCTCAGTGTCACCCCACGGCCACCTTCTTCCAGACGGGAACGTCCGTGCATCTCTACGCCCGGCCCTGAAGCACTCTTTGGGGTCTGCTTCCCCCAAAATGGGACCGAAGATCATTCTACACCAGAAGCTCATCAACCCCACTCTCTTTGCCCCTATGCACAGTTCATCCAAGTGGGGGGCTTGAGGGACCTCTGCTCCCCCAAACTTTCCTCCTGAGCTGCAGAGTGCTCCTCAGGACCACAGGCGTCCTGCCCAGGCCCAGGTCCACTCACCTTCATGTCTGTGAGCAGCTGCAGACCATCCTTCGGCCTGTGGCACCCGATGGCCAGGTTGCAGAATGTCTGCAGGTTGGGGACAAGGCCCCTCTTCGCCAGGACTGGCAACAGCGCCTTGGCCCCCTCCAGGTCTCCCAGCTTGCTCTTCTTTCTCACCAGCGTGTTAAAGAATGTCAGGTCGGCCTCCACCTGGTGTTTGTCCAGGAGCGCCAGCAGCAAGGACTCCGCAGGACTCCCGGACTCCACCACCTCAGCCAGTAGCGTGAGGGTCCTGATGTCAGGCTGCTGCCTATGCTCTGCCATCTTGCTCAGGAAGCCCTCCAGGCCCCCTATTAAGGCCAGCCTGTCAGCTGGGGTGCTCACTGTTCCAAAGGAGACCACGGTCGGGGGAACGGCCCCAGGGGTCAGGAGATTGACTTCCAGCTCCACGGGAGGTGGCTTCAGGGCCACAGGGGGCAGGGCCGCGGTGTGGCTGGGCTGTGCCTTGGTTTCCACCTCTGGCTGGGCCTTGCCGGGCACTCTGGCTTCCTGAGGCTCTGGAGGCCCAAGTGCCTGAGAAGGTTCCAGAAACAGCTGCCTCTCCAGGGCCTCCACGTGCAGCATGGCTGACATGCGGTTGCCTGCCTTGGCCTGGGCTGTCCTCGTTGGTCGCTGCCTGCCCACTGGGGGCTGAAGCAGGGTTGCCTCCTCACCGGGCTTCAGAAGCAGCTCTGAGGCTACCTGGGGGTCCCCTAGGCCACAGTCCCGAGCTGCTGCCAACAGCAGGTTGTAGCTGTCCCGGCTTGGCTGTAGCCCCAGACTCAGCATCAGCCGCCACACCTGCCAGGGAGGACAAACGTTAGCTCGGTGCTCCCGTTCAGCAGCTGGGCGCAGGGCTCACACCCGGAATCCCAGTGCCCCTGGAGTTTTAGATGGGAGGATCCCTTGAGAGCAGGAGTTCCAGACAAGACTGAGCAAAATAGCAAGACCCTGCCTCAAAAAAATAGGCCAGGCGTGGTGGCTCACACCTGTAATCCCAGCACTTTGGGAGGCCGAGGCAGGTGGATCATGAGGTCAGGAGATTGAGACCATCCTGGCTAACACAGTGAAACCCCGTCTCTATTAAAAATACGAAAAATTAGCCGGGTGTGGTGGCGGGCACCTGTAGTCCCAGCCACTTGGGAGGCTGAGGCAGGAGAATGGCGTGAACCTGGGAGGAGGAGCTTGCAGTGAGCCGAGATCGCGCCATTGCACTCCAGCCTGGGCAACAGAGCAAGACTCTGTCTCAAAAAAATAAATAAATAATTTAAAAAAAGCTTTCCAGCCGGGAGCTGTGGTTCACATCTGTAATCCCAGCACTTTGGGAGGCCCAGGCGGGCAGATCACATTAGGCCAGGAGTTCAAGATCAGCCTGGTCAACATGGTGAAACCCTGCCTCTACTAAAAATACAAAATTAGCTGGGCCTGGTGGCATGTGCCTATAATCCCAGCTACTCGGGAGGCTGAGGCAGGAGTATCACTTGAACCCAGGAGGCAGAGGTTGCAGGAGGCCGAGATCGTGCCATTGCACTCCACCCTAGGCAACAGTGAGACTCCATCTCAAAATAAATGAATGAATGAATGACTCTGCGGTTGCACCTGCAGAAGTGCTAGTGGGGCTGTGGGAGGGTTGAACAAGTCCCCAGGTGAGTGTGCCGCAGGCTTTCAGGGAAGGTGAGTTTAGAGGGGCTGAGCCTACTGCAAAGCAGGGTGGGAGAGGCAGGAGCTGCCCTCATTCCATCTCTAAGGGCCTCCTCTCCCTGCCATCTGTAGCACGGAGGCTACAGTGGCTGCTGGGTTTTCAGAAAAGAGCACAAATATAAAAATACTCAGCACAGGGCCATCATGGGTGCTCACAGGATCACCATTTTGCACCTCTTGCGCCAGGGAAGCAGGGCAGGAAGGTGGGGTGGGAAGGACATACCTGGAGGGCGTACCGGAAGCCCGTCTTCTTGTCTTGGATGCAGCCCATGAGCAGGAAACTAAAAGTCTCCTCCGTGACAATGTGCCCTTTGTGGATGATTTCCTGGGGGAGGGAACAAAGAGGTCCCATTGAGAACCTGCAGCAGGCTGGGCGTGATGGCTCATGTCTGTAATCCGAGCACATTGGGAGGCCGAGGCAGGAGGATCACTTGAGGCTAGGAGTTTTGAGACCAGCCTGGGCAACATAACAAGACCCTGTCTCTACACTCGGATAGAGGACACCCCTTCTAGGAAGCCTTCCCTCGAGTGCACAAAGCAGGACACAGCACACAGCGGCACACACAACCTCCAGCAGGGTCTCATCAGATCCGTCTGTGAACCCCAGTGCCCAATACCCGCTGTCTCACCCTCCCTGAGCCTTCCTGCATGAGGAGAGACAGACACCACAGCCCCGACCCCACCACATGAGACCAGACCCACAACGGGGAGCAGGATGGCAGGTGAAGCCCCCGACCTTGAACACATCAAGGCACATCCTAAGGTCTGCACATTTGGCAGCCATCTTCAGCAGCGCGTGGTACGTTTTCAAGTTGAGTTCGATGTTTTTGGCCTGCAGCTGCTGCCGGAGCTTCAGGGCGCTCTGCAGAGCCGAGTCCTTCCAGGGGGACTCGGCACAGACGTTGAACAGGGCCGTGTAGGTGGCGTCTGAGGGCTCCAGGTCCCGCTTTTTCATCTGTGGAGATGGAAGCAGCTCAGTGGTGGCCTGGGATCAGCTGGACGCACAAGTGAGCAGCCGCCCCAGAGGAGGCTGAGGCTGGAGAGGACCCCATTACTGCATACACCAGGCCAGGCTCTAAGGCAGAGCCATGGGACACATCAGAGCCCAGCTCTCCAAACTCAGACACATTGAAGGGACTCTGAAAACTGAGCCCACACCCCCATATGTACCAAAGAGAAGCTATCCTGCCCTGGGCACTTGTCAGCCCACTCCAGGCCTGGGGTCCTGGCAGCAAGGTCTTCCTGATGTCCCACCTTCAGGCCACCCAGTCAAGGGGAAAAGGGGCTATAGTGCTTACTACCTGAGGGTTCCTGGGCAAGTTAGCGCTTCCTTGTGAAAATGGGGATGACACCATCACCTTGAAACCAGGGATGCCTGTGGCAAGTAGGAGGGTGCACTGCAGTGCTCTAGGGGTGGCCCCGAACCACTGGCACAATGCACATTCTCAGGGCCACCTCATCTGGTGAGTCACAAGCCCCGGAGGTGAGTGACACTCAGCTTATTGAGCCTCCGGGGGACTAAGGCAGGTGCTCAGGGTTGACAATCCCTGGTGAAGCCTAGCACTTGCAAATGCCCAGAGAAGGGTCATCTGGTCGAGGGCAGGCGACAGGCGGCTCAGTGGCAAAAAGAACCCTGCTAGAGTCAGGCCATTTGCGGCTCAAATCTCAGCCCTGGTGCATTCAAGTGGGGTGGCCTTGGACATGTCCCTTTATTGCTCTGTGCCTCAGTTTCCTTATCTGAAAAGCAAAGATGGCAGTCCCTACTTTGAGGATGATGTAGGCTCTGTGTGTATTGCTGCACTCCACAGAGGTGCACTGACAACTCGCTACCTGCCCAGCACCAGCCCTGGGGTTAGCAGAGCGGGCACAGCCTGTCCTTACTGAGCTGACACTCGAGAAGACAGACACACTGCAGATGAGTCACCAAAAACAGTAACAAGGCTGGGTGCTGTGGCTCACGCCTATAATCCCAGCACTTTGGAAGGCTGAGAGGGGCAGATCACCTGAGGTCAGGAGTTCGAGACCAGCCCAGCCAACATAGCGAAACCCCGTCTTCTACAAAAAATACAAAAAAATTAGCCAGGTGTGGTGGTGGGCGCCTGTAATCCCAGCTACTCGGGAGGCTGAGGCAGGAGAATTGCTTGAACCTGGGAGGTGGAGGTTGCAGTGAGCCGAGGTTGTGCCACTGCACTCCAGCCAGGCTGACAGAGCCAAGACTCCCGTCTCAAAAAAATAAATAAAATAAAATAAAATAAATAAAAACAATAAAAATATTTTTTTTCTTTTTTGTTTGAGATGGAGTCTCAGTCTGTCACCAGGCTAGAGTGCAGTGGCATGATCTCGGCTCACTACAACCTCTACCTCCTGGGTTCAAGTGATTCTCCTGCCTCAGCCTCCCGAGTAGCTGGGACTACGGGTGCGCGCCACCATACCCGGTTAATTTCTGTATTTTCAGTAGAGACAGGGTATCATCATGTTGGCCAGGATGGTCTCAATCTCTTGACCTCATAATCTGCCCACTTTGGCCTCCCAAAGTGGTGGGATTACAGGCATGAGCCACTGCACCCAGCCAAAACTAATAGTTTTTTAAAGTGGATGTAATGGGCCGGGTGCAGTGGCTCTTGCCTGTAATCCCAGCACTTTGGGAGGCCAAGGTGGGTGGATCACTTGAGGTCAGGAGTTCGAGACCAGCCTGGTCAACAAGGTGAAATGCTGTCTCTACTAAAAATACAAAAAAATGAGCCGGGCATGGTGGCATGTGTGCCTGTAGTTCCAGCTACTCGGGAGGCCGAGGCATGAGAATCGCTTGAGCCCCGGAGGCGGAGGTTCCAGTGAGCCGAAGTCACACCACTGTACTCCAGCCTGGGCGACAGAGCGAGACTCCGTCTCCAGGAAAAAAAAAAAAGAGAGGCGCAGATGCAGTGGCTGGGCTGTGGCCTATAATCCCAGCACTTTGGGAGTCCGAGGCGGGTGGCCGGGGTTAGAGACCAGCCTGGACAACACAGTACAATCCCACCTCTACAAAAAATTTAAGAATTAGACAGATATGGTGCTACACACCTGTACTCACAGCTACTGACGAGGCTGAGGCAGGAGGAACTCTTGAGCCAAGGAGTTGGGGGCTGCAGTGAGCTATGATTGCACTCCAGCCTAGGCGACAGAGTGAGGCTACCTCTCTCTCTCTTTTTTTTTTTTTTTTTTTTTGAAGGGAAAAAGAAAGGGAACATGGGGACTGCTGCAGTCCAGGCAGGTGCTAAAGGGCTTTCCACGTCATCTCGTTTATCACCCACAATCACCATCATTTTAAGGAGGTGACTGAGGCCAGGGAGGTGAAGTCACCTGCCCAGTGTAAAGCACTAGCAACGGCACACTCGGGATCCGCCCCCAGCTTTTCAGAGCCTTGCCCCTGCTGCCCCGCGCTCACACGCACCTGGTTGTAGAGCTTGAAGGCCTTCCTCAGGTAGCCGACCCGCCCGCAGCCCCCGATCAGCACCGTGTAGTTGCTCTCCATGGGCTGCACTCGCTCCTCCTTCAGCATCTGCCTCTCAAACAGGTCCAGGGCTTCGACCAGCTGCAGGGAAGAGGCAACAGGGCAGGGGCTCAGAACCACCCCAGAGACCCTCGGCAGAGAGAGGGAGGCTGAGGCTGAGGGACCCTCCTGAGACAGTGCAAGACGGCGGTCCTGGGTAGACTGCAAACCCCCTGAGCCCCCGGCTGTCTCTGCCCCATTCCTCCCCTCACAACATTTCCCCGGTGAAGCCTCAGTTCGTTCCTTTATTCCTTCATTATTTTCATCTGTTCATTCAAACAATAATTACTGAGTGCTTCAATGAGCCAGACAAGGTCTATCCACTGCAGATATAGCTGGGAACAAGAGGGAGCTCCTTCTTGGAGCTCATGTTCCGGTGTGGAAAGTCAGACATGAGGCCAGGCGCGGTGGCTCACATCTGTAACCCCAGCACTTTGGGAGGCTGAAGCGGGCAGATCACAAGGTCAGGAGTTCGAGACCAGCCTGGCTGAGATGGTGAAACCCTGTCTCTACTAAAAACACAAAAATTAGCCAGGTATGGTACTTGGAAGGCTATGGCAGGAGAATTGCTTGAACCTGGGAGGCAGAGGCTACAGTGAGCCAAGATTGCACCACTGCACTCCGGCCTGGGTGACAGAGCAAGACTCTGTCTCAAAGAAAAAAAAAAAAAAGACACACATGAAATGGGATAAGAAAGACATACAACATATCAAGTGATGACAGGTGCTACAAACAAAACTAAAGCAGGGGCCAGGTGTAATGGCTCATGCTTGCAGTCCCAGCATTTTGGGAGACCAAGCCGGGCAGATCAACTGAGGTCTAGAGTTTGAGACTAGCCTGGCCAACACGGAGAAACCCCATCTCTACTAAAAATACAAAAATCGGCCGGGCATGGTGGCACACACCTGTAATCCCAGCTACTTGGGACACTGAGGCAGAAGAACTGCTTGAATTCCCCAGGAGGCAGAGGCTGCAGTGAGTCAAGATCGCACCGCTGCACTCCAGCCTGGGTGACAGAGTGAGATGCTGTCTTAACAACAACAAAAAAAGCGTAAAGCAGGGAGTGCTAGAAGGGTGTGGAGGATTCACTTTTCCTTTTTTTTTTTTTTTTTTTTTTTGGAGACAGATTCTTGCTCTTTGACTCAGGCTGGAGTCCAGTGGTAAGATCAGCTCAGTGCAACCTCCATCTCTACCAAAAAAAATACAATAAAATAAAACTGTGGCGGAGGATGGCAAAGGGCAGTGATACTTACAGCCGTAAGGCTGGCAGTTCACAGGCCAGGCCCAAAACTTAAGAGGCTGGGAAGGTCAGGCGACCCCTTGCAAAACACTGAGCCGCCAGGGGTAAGAAGCCAGGAGCCGCAGAACCCAAAACGCCACTCACCTTCCCTTCCTTGATCAGGCGTTTGCACTGCAAGAAGTACCAGTACGGGGTGTTTCTCCGGCCTCGCCATAATTTGGGCTCCGGTTCCTCTGGCTCCTCTCTCTGTTCCCTGAACCGCAGGTTATGGAACTGGGCTGTGGATTTGCGGAATAGTCTCCGGGAGGAGTATTTGTCAGAGAGGGTCCCAAAACTCTCCTCCTCCTCCTCGTCTTCTTCCTGCGTGGCCGTGGAGTTGGAGTGGCTCGGGTCAGAGCCCAGGCTGCCCGTGTTCTCCGGGTGCTCCTGGCCGAGGGGCAGCTGAGAGGAGGAGCTGCTGAAGGCCGCCCACACTGGCCGCATCAGCCCCTCCCTGCCTCCCGCCCACCTGGCGCTACAGGGATCCAGGTGTTGCAGGACGAACAGTCCCATGGGGCGGGCCCTGGAGAACAGTCTAGCGAGTCTCATGAGGTTCATTTCTGGCTTTCCGGTCCCTCCAGGGCCTGGAATATATCAGGAAAAGTAAGAGAGTCAACTCACTTCCTAGTCACAAAAGGCAGAAAGAAAAAAGTGCTTAGAAGTATGGGCCCAGGCTGGGCGCGATGGCTCATGCATGTAATCCCAGGACTTGGGGAGGTCGAGGCCAGCATATTACTTGAGGTCAGGAGTTTGAGACCAGCCTGGCCAACATGGTGAAACCTTGTCACTATGAAAAATACAAAAATTAGCCAGGCATGGTGGTGTGCGCCTGTAATCCCAGCTACTCAGGAGGCTGAGTCAGGAGAATCACTGGAACCCGGGAGATGGAGCTTGCAGTGAGCTGAGATTGCGCCACCATACTCCAGCCTGGGTGACAAAGTGAGACTCTGTCTCAAAAAAACCAAACCAAACCAAACAAACAAACAAAAGAACAGGCCAGGAACGGTGGCTGATGCCTGTACTCCCAGCACTTTGGGAGGCCAAGGTGGGCAGATCAGTTCAAGACTAGCCTGGTGAAACTCCATCTGTACTAAAAATACAAAAAAAATGAGCTGGATGTGGTGCTACATGTCTAATCCCAGCTACTCAGGAGTCTGAGGTAGGAGAATCACTTGAACCCAGGAGACCGAGCTTGCAGTGAGCTGAGATCACGCCACTGCGCTCCAGCCTGAGTGACACAGTGAGACTCTGTATCAGAAAAATAATAATAATAATAAATAAAATAAGAAGTACGGGCCCAGAGGTTAGAAAGCCTAGGTTCAGGTCAGACATAGCTCACTGCAGCCTCACCCTCCTGCGCTCAAGTGATCCTCCCATTTCAGCCTCCTGAGTAGCTGGAACGACAGGTGCGTGCCACCACGCCTAATTTTATTTTTTGGTCGAGACGGGGTCTTGCTATGTGCCCAGGCTGGTCTCGAACTCCTGGACTCAAGCAATCCTCTCACCTTGACCTCCCAAAGCACTGGGATTACAGGAATGAGCCACCATGCCCAGCCTAAAATATTTTGAAGTCCGGTTATATTAGAAGGTTGCCATTGGAAAAGTCTCACAAGTGATGGCAGATTGAACAGATTAAAAACTAGGCCCAGCAGGCCAGGAGCGGTGGCTCACGCCTGTAATCCAGGAACTTTGGGAGGCAAAGGTGGGTGGATCACCTGAGGTCAGGAGTTCGAGACCAGCCTGACATGGTGAACCCCATCTCTACTAAAAATACAAAAATTAGCTGGGCGTGACAGCATCTGCCTGTAATCCCAGCTACTTGGGAGGCTGAGGCAGGAGAATCACTTGAACGTGGGAGGCAGAGGTTGCAGTGAGCCAAGATAGTGCCATTGCACTCCAGCCTGAGCAACACAGCAAGACTCTGTCTCAAAAAAACCACCAACAACAACAAACAAAAAACTAGGCCCAGCAAGGGGAGAGACTTGCTGGGGTCCTGCAGCAGTGCAGTGGGTGAGACTGGCCAGTTTGGGCTGGGCTGGCTTAGAACTCAGGTCCATGTAACGTATGGACAGACTCTCCTGACCAGCACCTTTGTGAAACTAGTGCAGGGGGCCTTTATCATTCTGCATCTGGCAAGCCCTGCCACTCCTTCTTACAAGCATGGAGTTTATGTCATTTTCTTTTTATGGGAATGGGGTCTTCATGTTGCCCAGGCTGGAGTGCGATGGCACAGTGGCAAACGCACAATCACTGCAACCTCCAACTCCTGGGCTCAAGTGATCCTCCTACCTCAGCCTCCCAATTAACTAGCACTACTGGTGCACACCACCATACCCAGCTAATTTTTTGTATTTTTTGTAGAGATGTAGTCTCCCTATGTTTCCAGGCTGGTCTAGTACTCCTGGCCTGAAGCAATCCTCCAGCCTTGGTCTCCCAAAGTGTTGGGATTGCAGGCATAAGCCTCCATGCCCTGCCTTATGTGCATTAATTACAACACACAGAATTACAAAACAAAAAGCAATGATATTGAAATGGCATCAAAATGCTTTAAAAACAAATTTCTGCTATACTAGCATAGATGCTTATTTTCAATGCATTAAATAACAAGACCCTATCATAATTTCAAAGCAGTAATGAATGTAAGTGACAGCTTAAGATATCACCTTGTAGTTGCTGCACAAACTGTTTTTTTTTTTTGAGTCTCACTCTGTCGCCAGGCTGGAGTGGGGTGGTGCCATCTCAGCTCAATGCAACCTCTGCCTCCCGGGTTCAAGCAATGCTCGTGCCTCAGCCTCCCAAGTAGCTGGGATTACAGGCACGCACCACCACTCCCGACTAGTTTTTATATTTTTAGTAGAGACGGGGTTTTGCCATGCTGTTCAGGCTGGTCTCGAACTCCTGACCTCAAGTGATCCTCCCGCCTCAGCCTCCCAAAGTGCTGGAGTGACAGGTGTGAGCCATCATGCCTGGCCCTGCATAAACTCTTATCTGGAACTATCACTTACACTCACCCCCACTTGCAATTATGACACAGTTTCAGGCACTGCTAAGGCTGCTCCAGCAATGGGGAAAGGAAATGCTAAATTTCACAGAGAAAACAGGGGTGTCATTTTGTTCCTACACAATTTCATTACCCCACCCTGGTTAGAAAACCCTGAATTAGACCGTAGAGTGGCTCATGCCTGTAATCCCAGCACTTTGGGAGGCCCAGGCGAGTGGATCGCTTGGGGCTTGGGGCTAGGAGTTCGAGACCAGCCTGGGCAACATAGCAAGACCCCCCATCTCCACAAAAATTAAAAATAAAAATTTAAAAATTAGCCAAGCGTGGTGGTGCAGCTACTCAAGAGGCTGAGGTGGGAGGATCGCTTGAGCCTGAGAAGTTGAAGCTGCAGCGAGCTATGATCGTACCACTGTACTCCAGCCTGGGCCACCTAGCGAGAAAAGAAAAAACCCTGAATTAGAGACACGCCGCGGCCGTGTCTTCGGAGAGACCCGCCCCTCCTCAGACGCCTACCCGGACCCTCAGGCCAACGCCGACCCCTCTCCACACAGACTTTTGCAGCCTCAGTTTCCCTCCTCGGACGCCCCTGGCTCCAATCCTGGTTCGGGCACTTCCTTCCCCTCTGGCGTGTCTCTGCCCGGATCCCGGGGTTCCTGCGAGGATCACACAAGAACTCACTTGAAGTGTCCGGCGCAGTGCACTCCGATGGGGCTCTCTACCCGGTCCCCGCGACGGACCCGGCTCTCCCACGGGTCACCCTCTCCCCGGACGCGCAAGCGCAGCCCGCGTCGCCGACACACGCGGCTGGTTTCAGGTTTCCGGCGAGACTAGGCCGGCGTTCGGCTGGCGGCTAGCCAGGACTAGCGGAGCGACGGGACTCCGCGCTCGATTGGCAGTGCCTGGACAGGCGCAAGAACCGGCGCGGGCTCTGGGCGCTCCCGGCATCCCTCGGGCGGCGGCGGCGGCGGCGGCGGCTGCGAGGCGCAGGAGGAGCGTGTGCGGCGGGCCCGGCGGCGGGTAGAGAGGCGAGAGGGCTGCAGGAGACCGAGGGGGAGCCGGGCCGGTGGGGCCGCCGCCGCCGCCATGCAGGAAATAATCGCCAGCGTGGACCACATCAAGTTTGACTTGGAGATCGCAGTGGAGCAGCAGCTCGGGGCGCAGCCGCTGCCCTTCCCCGGCATGGACAGTGAGCGCGGGGCCCGGGCGGGAGGGCGAGAGCGACTCGAACCCGGGACCCGCTCCTATGTGTTCCCGGGACTCCTTCGCCTCGGTCCTGAGACCTCCCCCGGCTTCCTCTGGATCCTGGGACCCCTCCCCTTCGGTCGCGGGACTCCTCCCTCTATGTCTTGAGAGTCCCTCCCACCTCCTCCGGGTCCTGGGACCCTCCCCTTTAGTTCCCGAACTCCCTCATCTGTGATCCGGGACTCTTCTCACTCCATCCTGAGACCTCCTCTTCTGGATCCCGGGACGCTACCCCTTGGTTCCAGGACTCCTGACTCCCAGGCCCCCATTTCCACCGTCTGGGGACCCCTTTTCCCCTCACTCGAACTCAGGAGTTCACTGCTTCGGATCTTTGGCCCCCTGCGGCTCTTTAAAGGTAATCTGTAGGCGGGTAGGACCTTGTCCGTTCGCTTAATTCTTGAATAAGGGTGGGTTATCCTGGATTGGAACTCTCCCTCAACACTCTCCCAGCTACAGGAGAGTACTAGGATATCGCACCCCCTACCTCCCAACCCCGCTACATTGAGCGTCTCTTCTTTTTGCTTTGATCAAAACTAGGCTTTTGGAGGAGGCGTGCTGAGGGAAGGACCACCTCTCTGTAGGAGACCCCAGCTAGACTCTTAAACTCCCTTCTACGACTCTCTCCTGGGAGCTCATCCTTAGTTTTTGGCCTGCCCCTACTTTTTTCTGGACCCCATCTCTGAGTTGTTCATCACACCCAGCAGCTGGTGTGGACCCTTGGCCTGAACTCCCTTCACTCCTCCCCTTCACATGGTGGCTCCTGGCTCCCCACCCCCTACTCAGTGGGATATCTTGTACTTTAAAAGAAACCAGTAGTTTTCTTTGTGTCTTCTTTCCTAACCGGACACACTTGAAATCTAATGCTATAACCTTAAAGTTCGCGGGCTTGTGGAAGTCACTGAGTTCAATCCACAGATGGGGAAACTGAGACCCAAGCGGGGGAAGGGACTTGCTGACGACCACTCAGTGCATAGCAGAGCCAGGCAAGTTCTCCAGTGTTGTGTGCTGTCGCCCCGCACTACCAGCGGGGTCTCCCAGCAGCCTCTCTCCCCTCAGGCGGCCACACCTTCTCATGCACATGTGACCTCTGAGTCTGTCCCTTTATGTGTTTTTTTGTTGTTGTTATTTGTTTGCTTTTGAGACAGGGGCTCCTCTTTTGCCCAGGCTGGGTGCAGTGACGCAATCATGGCTCAATGCAGCCTCGACTTCCCAGGCTCCAGCAGTCCTCCCACCTCAGTTTCCCAAGTAGTTGGGACCACAGGTGTGCACCAACACACCTGGCAAATTTTGTGTGTGTGTGTTTCTTGGTAGAGACACTGTTTCACCATGTTTCCCAGGGTTGGTCTTGAACTCCTGGGCTCAAGTGATCCTTTCACCTCGGCCTTCGGAAGTACTGGGATTACAGCCATGAGCCACCACACCTGGCCTATATCTATATATATATAAAAATTTTTTTTTTTTTTTTTTTTTTTTTGCTGCCTGTCCCACAACTTTACATGGTGATACTTCTGTACAAGATAGTTTCGTTGGAAGTTAAGTCATCAAGAAAAACAAGATAGTGCTTATAAGGAGACATCATCAGACCACCCTGTTTGACAAACACCATCGCCACTGTACACCCCCTAAAAAGCAGCTGCTGAAATTCACACACACACACCCCCTCTTACCTACTCCTCGAGTCCTGTGATAACTTCATCCCTGCACACGTGGCCTTTTCCTGTCTCTTTTTTTCTGAGATGGAGTTTCGCTGTTGTTGCCCAGGCTGGAGTGCAGTAGCGCGATCTCGGCTTACTGCAACCTCCACCTCCCAGGTTCAAGCAATTCTCCTGCCTCGGCCTCCTGAGTAGCTGGGCTTATAGCCTCCTGCCACCATGCCCAACTAATTTTTGTATTTTCAGTAGAGATGAGGTTTCACCACGTTGGCCAGGCTGGTCTTGAACTCCTGACCTCAAATGATCCGCCTGCCTTGGCCTCCCAAAGTGCTGGGATTACGGGCGTGAGCCACTGCGCCCAGTCGGCCTTTTCCTGTCTTGATGGCACTGGCTTGAGACCGTGGAACCACCCACGCAGGGCAGATCTTTCCCTCCCACCCTTCTGCCACCTGACAGATCCACAAGCCTGTGAGGGGAGGTACAGTGGCGAGGGGCCCACATACCTGTTCTTGAGGCCAGAGACACGCCTGGCCCTGGGTGCTGCCCCAGCCAGGGCTTCAGAGTCGGTAGGCACCCTTCACACTCACTGCTTGTCCATATCCTGTTCAGTTAAAGTCTAGTGAGGCCACAGCCCTTCCTCACCCATCCCTCCTCTTCATGCCCATCTGAGGTTTGGGAAGAACTGTCACTTTGCCCATAAGGCATACTCATCCCATCCACATGAGACTCAATTCCCAGAACTGTGGATTTCTGAGCAGAAGCAACTCTAATCTCTGAAGAGACAGACCAGACCAGAGATACTTTCAGAATTTTTTTTTTTTTTTTTTTTTTTTTGAGACAGAGTCTTGCTCTGTTGCCCAGGCTGCAGTACGGTGATGCGATCTTGGCTCACTGCAACCTCTGCCTCTGGGTTCAAGAGATTCTCCTGCCTCAGCCTCCTGAGTAGCTGAGATTACAGGCATGTGCCACCACACCTGGCTAATTTTTGTATTTTTAGTAGAGATGGGGTTTCACCATATTGGCCAGGCTGGTCTTGAACTCCTGATGTCAAGTGATCCACCCGCCTAGGATTACAGACGTGAGTCACCGCACCTGGCCACTTTCAGACTTTTTGAAATGCAAATAGAGTGACCTCCCTGTGACAGCAGCTGTAAGTTCTATAACCTCAGCTGTGTCCTAGCAAAATCCGCCTGCTTCCAAGAAGCCAAGGAATCTTTTGTGATTTAGCAAGGGGAGGCACGTTATGTGGACTTCAGAGATGCTGTCATTGGTTTTTCAGCAATTCTAAAATGGTTACTTGTAGAGGAAACTGTTTCTGATGCCAAGGTCAGTTTAGTCTGGCAACTGGGGGCTGGAGAATTCCTGGACTCATCAGAACAGCTGGTCCCTGGAGCCCAATGAATTCCAGCACACTCCTAACTGTGGGAAGGAAAGGCTGTGCTTTTTTTTTTCTTTTTTTTGTTAACAAGCAACATAATCAAAAACAAAAGCACAACAACCTTAAAGCTGAAACAGCAATAAGTCAGACTGCTGCGGCAGTTCACAGATGTACCTGGGGTTCATGCTTGCTCATGGCGAGGCAGGACATAGGCACATGACTGTGCATTGAGGTATGTATGTGACTAAAAAGAATGAGAGAAATGGAAAACACTGGAGAACAGAAAGTATCAAGAACCTTCCATCAGGCAGTCCCAAAGCGCTCTGCTCTTTTCCTCTTCTCTGCCTCTGTATCCTCCGTGGTTCCAGTTCCAGCTGAACTTGTGACAATCCCAAATCGCTCCTTCCTCTTTTTCAGTTTCTTATCATCTTCAGACTTTCTGGAGATTGAAGAGACATTCAAACCAAATCTTTGAGCTCCTTCCTTGGACTTATCCACGTTAACCATAGGTTTGTTCTCAGGTGACAGACTTGTGTTGGAACTGAAGAAATCCCAAACCTAGCTGCCCCGGTAGCTTTCTTACTCTCCAAGCTCACACGCACACTGAATCGTTTGGCCCTCTTCTGCATTCTCTCCGCCTGTAGTATTTCAGATGTAATTTTCACCACTTTCTTCTCTGCTGCCACATGAACAGTTTTTTTCAGGGGGTTCTTCCTCTTTGAAAGGGGGTTTGTTTCTTCTTCTTCTGTTTCATCTCCCAGTACATCTTCATTTGCCTCCCTTCAGCATGTTCTTCAAGATATGCCTGGAGTCTGTGGATAAGATCTTGCTTTATTCCCTTGGTCGCCAAACCACAAGCAAGACATTCTTGTTTAGTTCAGCAAGCTTCAGCTTATGGAGCTCCACCATCTCAGTTACCATCTTGTTACCCGCTCCGGGTGTGCTTTTTTAATAATTGTATGTGGGGTGGGTTGCGGTGGCTCACGCCTGTAATCCTAGCACTTTGGGAAGCCAAGGCAGGCAAATCACGAGGTCAGGAGTTCGAAACCAGCCTGTAATCATTGTATGTGGGCCAGGCGTGGTGGCTCACATCTGCAATCCCAGCACTTTGGGAGGCCGAGGTAAGCGGATCACTTGAAGCCAGTAGTTTGAGACCAGCCTGGCCAACATGGCAAAACCCCCTCTCTACTAAAAATACAAAAAAATTAGCCAGGCGTGGTGGTGCACACCTATAATCCCAGCTACTCAGGAAGCTGAGGCAGGAGACTCTCTTGAACTGGGGAGGCGGAGGTTGCAGTGAGCCAAGATCGCACCACCGCACTCTAGTCTGGGTGACAGAGTGAGACTGTCTCAAAACACTAGAAAAAAAAATTGTATATGGATGTTGCATATTAAAAGCAGTCCTCTGAGTCTGCACTTAACGTGCTTCCCTTTGGACTAGTGTCTCAGAGGCACTGCCTCTTCCTTGAAGCCTGACCCTTCTCAGAGGCCCTGACAGTCTATACTTCTGTGAGATCATTCCTTCCCTCTGCCTCATGTTAAGGTGTCCGTGAATTCACCTTCCTGGAGGAAGATGTCAGCTGGGGGCTATTAATTTATTTCTGTGGGTCAGGCATGGTGGCTTATGCCTGTAATCCCAGCACTTTGGGAGGCCGAGGTGGGTGGATCACCTGAGGTCAGGAGTTCGAGACCAACCTGGCCAACAAAACCCTATCTCTACTGAAAATACAAAAATTAGGTGGGCGTGGTGGCAGGCGCCTGTAATCCCAGCTACTTGGGAGGCTGAGGCAGGAGAATTGCTTGAACCTGGGAGGCGGAAATTACAGTGAGCTGAGATTGCGCCGTTGCACTCCAGCCCAGGCAACAAGAGTGAAACTCCATCTCAAAAAAAAAAAAATTATTTCTGGGATCTTGTACTCCAGCCTTCCTTTCCCCACCCGCTCTTAACTCCTTGAAAAGATCTTATATACAGGAGGCTCTCAAAGCACTGGGTAATGACTGCTCTCAATGTATGTGTCTCATTTTGTAGGGCATGACTAACATAAGCAGCTTCTTCCTTGCTTGGTTGGGCTTTGCATACTTTTGCTACTTTATTTCCAGTACCCTGAACCCTTGGGGGTCAAGAAGTCGGAAGGGTTCCCTCCCACTGTCTTCAGACATCGTCAATAGCAATTGCACGTCTTTGTTTGATTCCTCTCGTTTTCTCTCCTTTCTACAGAGTCGGGTGCTGCTGTCTGTGAATTCTTTTTGAAAGCTGCCTGCGGCAAAGGTAAGAAACTCTGGGCTCCCTGACATGCCTCCCGAGGCGCCCTTCCGTCTCCTTGTCCCCAGCTGAGTTGGAGGCCGCCAGGGCTCTGGCTCACATTGCTTTTTACAGACTAACGATCTCTGTAGATAAAACTGGTTTGGACAGGCTAGGAACCTGATGGGGTGTTCCACCTGAAACCTAAACGCAGGACTGAACCTGGCTCTAAGGCTGCCTTATCACTTCGCATTCCCCGTGGCCACAAGCTGATCTGTGACGTGGAAAGACGCCCCCAGCATTGAGACATTCAGGAACTTTCTCAATGTCACAGAGTTAATCAGTGGCGGAGCCCAGTGTCTGAACCCAGGTCTTTCTCATTCCACAGTCTCCACGGGCTCATGGTTTTCTGTGGCCTCCCATCCAAAACACCCCATGATAACCCATCTTGTGGGGTCTTGTTCTCGATAACCAGTCCCCAACACAGACTACACAAGACTACTGAGGTGGGAGAATCCCTTAAACCAGAGAGTCAAGAGGTTGCAGTGAGCCGAGATCATGCCATTGCACTCTAGCCTGGCAACAGAGCAAGACTCCATCTCAAAAAAAAAAAAAAAGATCTTGCTTCATTCCCTCGGTCTCCCAGCCATGAGCAAGACATTCTTTCTTTAGTTCAGCAAGCTTCAGCTTATGGAGCGCCACTGTCTTGGTCGCCATCTTGTTACCCCTCCGGCTGTGCTCTTTTAATAATTGTATGTGGGCCGGGTGAATCCATCAGAAGTATCACTAGGGGCCAGGTGCGGTGGCTCACGCCTGTAATCCCAGCAGTTTGGGAGGCCGAGGCGGATGGATCACCTGAGGTCAGGAGTTTGAGACCAACCTGGCCAACATGGTGGAACCTCATCTCTACCAAATATACAAAAATTAACTGGGCATGGTGACGCCCATCTATAATCCCAGCTACTCGGGAGGTTGAGGCAGGAGAATCACTTGAACCCGGGAGGCAGAGGTTTCAGTGAGCCAAGATCGCACCACTGCACTCCAGCCTGGGTAGCAGAGGGAGACCCCATCTCAAAAAAAAAGAAGTATCACTAGGCACAACCTTAACTTTCCATGGTCTGGGCATTTTTCTCCTGTAGGAAAATTTATTTAGGAGACTTAAATATTAATGAGAAGCTTGAAAAAGGGGAGCGGAGAATCAGAGCAAAGGGCTGGTTTTAACGAATGGTTTGATGAGCTTTGCTTCTATAACATAGTCATTTACCACTGAGGTAGTAGACTTCCTGGCAGATCAGCCAGGCCAACTTCACAATGTCCAGTCAGAACGTCATTACCTCCACTGGGCCTCCGGTCTCACTCCCATGTCTTTGCTCAGTGATTCTGCCCTTCTGACCAGCCGCCTTCTGTTAGCACAGCCATCCCTAACACAGGGCATTCTGACTGTCTCTCTGTTGACTAATATAGCAGCCACTAGTCACATGTGGCAGTTCATATTTAAGTAAAATCAAATCACATTTAAAACTTGAAATCCTCAGACACACTAGTCATGTTTCAAGTGGTCAGTAGTCACGTGGGGCTAGCAGCTGCCATACTGGACAGCAGAAGTGTAGAATGGACCTCCATGGTTGTCTTGCCAGGCCACCTGTTAGAAGTCCCGCACATCCCCAGAGGCTGGCTCTGTCCCAAAAGGCACACGTCCCTCCATGTGTATACATCACATTTCTTCAATTCTGAAATTGGTCTTTCTTTTAAGAGGCAGCATCTTACTCTGTCACCCAGGCTGGAGTGCAGTGGTACAGTCATAGCTCACTGCAAGCTCAGCCTCCTGGGCCCAAGTGATCCTCCCACCTCAGCCTCCCCAGTAGCCGGGACTACAGCTGTGCACCACCATACCCAACTAATTTTTTTTTTTTTTTCAGACGGAGTTTTGCTCTTGTTGCCCAGGCTGGAGTGCAGTGGTGTGATCTTGGCTCACTGCAACTTCTGCTTCCTGGGTTCGAGCAATTCTCCTGCCTTAGCCTCCCGAGTAGCTGGGATTACAGGTGCACACCACCACACCCAGCTAATTTTTTGTATTTTTAGTATAGACAGGGTTTCATTATGTTTTGGCCGGACTGGTCTCGAACTCCTGACTTCAGATGATCCACCACCTTGGCCTCCCAGAGTGCTGCGATTACAGGTGTGAGCCGCTGTGTCAGGCCTCCCAGCTTGCTTGCTTGCTTGCTTATTTACTTATTTATTTATTTAGTGAAGACAAAGTCTCAGGCTGATCTCGAACTTCTGGGCTCAAGTGATTTTCCTGTCTTGGCCTCCTAAAGTGCTAGGATCATAGGTGTGAGCTACTATACCCGGCTGAGTTCATCTTTCTTTTTTTTTCTTTTTTTTTGTGGGGGGGACAGAGTTTTGTTCTTGTCACCCAGGCTGGAGTGCAATGGTGTGATCACTACAACCTCTGCCTCCTGGGTTCAAGCGATTCTCCAGCCTCAGCCTCCCAAGTAGCTGAGATTACAGGCACCCCCACCACTACACCCAGCTAATGTTTTTTCGTATTTTTAGTAGAGATGGGGTTTCATCATTTTGGTCAGGCTGGTCTCGAACTCCTGACCTCGTGATCCACCCGCCTCAGCCTCCCAGCATCTCCCTCTTTTTTATGCCTCCATCTTACAGTAATATCTGTGAAATGATGAGTAACTTTTTTTTTTTTTTTTTGAGAGGGAGTCTCGCTCTGTCGCCCAGGCTGGAGTGCAGTGGTGGGATCTCGGTTCACTGCAAGCTCCGCCTTCTGGGTTCACGCCATTCTCCTGCCTCAGCCTCCCGAGTAGCTGGGACTATAGGCGCCCAGCTAATTTTTTTGTATTTTTAGTAGAGATGGGGTTTCACCGTGTCAGCCAGGATGGTCTCAATCTCCTGAACTCATGATCCGCCTTGGCCTTCCAAAGTGCTGGGATTACAGGCGTGAGCCACCGCGCCCGGCCATGAGTAACTATTAAAATGTAAAGTGTCTGTCAGCGTACTGCCTCAAGTCATGTTGCCTTCTGTGAGGCAGACCTCTGCCCCCTTCCAGGACATGATGCCCTCAGGTGGCTCCAGGAGTTAGGAGGTGAAGATGCCTCAGCTTCTCTAGGCCTTGTTCCCTGGGCTCAGGGTGGCCTCTCTGCTGACACCCTGTCCCTATCTTCCCGGCAGGGGGCATGTGTCCGTTTCGCCACATCAGCGGTGAGAAGACAGTTGTGTGCAAACACTGGCTGCGTGGCCTATGCAAGAAAGGGGACCAGTGCGAGTTCCTGCATGAGTATGACATGACCAAGATGCCCGAGTGCTACTTCTACTCCAAGTTCGGTAAGGCACCTGGAGCTCTGGAGGCTCTGCTGAGAACCAGGGTGCAGAGGGGTCTGTTGGCTGCGCAGTGCCCACACTCTCTCTGCCTGCTTTTCCCATCTTTCCATTCTCAGAGGAGAAACTTGGGCAGAGCCTGCCAGCCTCAGCCAGCTTTTAGGAGACAGCGTGGCTATTTTCTGCTCATTTTTTTTTTTTTTTTTTTTTTTAAAGACACAGGGTCTCGCTATGTTTCACATACTGGTCTTGAACGCCTGGGCTCGAATGATCTGCCTGCCTCAGCCTCCCAAAGTGCTGGGATTACAGGCGTGAGCCACTGCGCCAGACCCCTTGCATTCTTTTGGAGTGCTTCAGTGTTTGGAGCTCTTTCAATCACTCTGGGATTTGAGGCTAATGAGGGTGACCCGGAAGCAGCGAGTTGTGCAGCTGGCTGCATTATGTCCGTGGTTGGTTTCTGTCCACATCCACCTTCTCCCTGAAACCCACTTCTCCCTACAGTGTGGGAACTGCCTCTCAGGCCGGAGCTGGTTCCTTCTCTCCGGGAGCCGTGATCCTGGTGACATTTCAGCCATCCTTAACATCCCTTCAAAATAGCAGCCTCAGATGTGTCTTCTGGTAGCACCAAGCTTGCCTTGAGCCCTGCTTAGAGAATCCGTGGCCTCAGCTGTCCTGAGTGGCCTGCGTGGAGAAGCGGGAGACCGGGTGGAGTCGGATGTTGTGCTCCCTGCTGGAATGAGTCCCCAGGGTCCCTGCTCAGGTCTGCACTTCGAGGTTTCCCAAGAAGCAGCTCTGTGGGTCAGCATGAGGCTGGCTCTAGTCCTGGGCAGGGAGCCCGGCAGAAGGCCGGAATCCTGCAGGGAGCCAAGGGGTGCAGGATATGCTTCATGCTTTCAAAGCACTGCTTTTGGAGGAGACATTATTTCAGCATCCCAATAGGTGTGGCCTGCTGGCTTATTAATGAGAGCTGTGGCTTGTCTTGTGGAGGTGGCATAAGCTGAGAAGAAATAGAACCCAAGCTTCCCAGCTCCCCAAGTGCTGTCCTCTGTCATTGTGCAATGTAGCATGTTCCCCCCGCGACACCTTGCCCATAGCAGCACTGGGATGGGGCAGTGGCCTCCCATCTGTCCCCAGAGGCAGCAGCTGGCTCTCCTGGGCAGGCTCTCAAGGCACCGCTATCCAAGTGGCCTGGGGGTCGCTCCTTCCTTGCTGACGGCCCTGGTGCAGGACACACTGTGTGCAGCTTCTGTCACCTGCACCACAGACATTGGGTTGAGGGCCTCCTTTCTAGGCACTGGAGGGACAATGGTGAAGAGGTCCTTGCCCTGTGAATTCTTCACTCTTGTGGTCCAGGGAAAGATGTAGCTGATAAGCCATGAGACGAACAGAGAAGAAATTACCTGTGACAAGTGCTCTGAAGGAAGGAAACCATGACCAGAACCTTGAGGCAGAGTGGTCAAGGATGAGGGGATTCCTGAGCTAGGAGCGGAAGACTGAGAAGGGGCTGGTCCTGGTGCAGGGGGACCCATGTGACTGGGGGGTGGCAGAGGCGGAGCCTGTGGGGGAGCCTGGGGGAGGAGTTTGCATTTCCTTAGGATTTTGAGCACAGTTGTTAACGTGGATGGGAGAAGGTGAGCCAAGAAGCGGGCAACTACCCAGGAAGGCAGTTCTCAGTGCTGGTGGTCCCTGGGGCCCGCTGCTTCGGAGAGGGCCAGGTCCACTAGTGCTTCTCCCTACCCTTGTCCCAGCTCTTAGACATGAAGAGTCAATCAGAGTGGAACTTCCTGGTCTCCATGGGTGCTTTTCCGTCACAGCCCCACTGCACAGGAAGCGGGGGCTCAGAAACACTCTTCCCTGGCTCTCAGGGCTCATCAGGCCAAAACTGGACACCAGAACCTCTTTTCCTTGGATGAAGCCAAGGTGGGCCTGGCCCCAGCCTTCCTAGCGGCCTCACATCTGAGTTTCCCTGCAGGAGAGTGCAGCAACAAGGAGTGTCCCTTCCTGCACATCGACCCCGAGTCCAAGATCAAGGACTGCCCTTGGTATGACCGTGGCTTCTGCAAGCACGGTAGGTGCCAGGGTGAGCTGGGCCCCTGGCAAGAAGCCAAGTCTTCCCTTCTCTGCCCACATGACCCTGGAGGCTGCCATCTGGTCTACCTGGGACATCTTGCCCTATCTGTCCCAGCAAAACCTGACATTCTGCAGCTAGCGGCTTGCTCACACCCCTCATCTCCCTTGACTCTCCCAAGAATGCTGGGTGGGTGGTGGTCCACCTGCATTTTTGATAAGGAGGCCAGTGTTGGGAGGTGAGGTCCCTGCCCCCTGTCTCCCATGAATGGGGGACAGCCAGCGTTTGAAGCCATGCTCCAGCTCTCTAACTGGTAGAGGGGATGTCTAAGTGACCAGACACTTGGCTCTGCAGGTCCCCTCTGCAGGCACCGGCACACACGGAGAGTCATCTGTGTGAATTACCTCGTGGGATTCTGCCCAGAGGGGCCCTCATGTAAATTCATGCAGTGAGTAGCCAGCCGCTCTGCCCTCTACCCTCTACCCCAGCTCCCAGCCCAGGCCGTGCTGCCCTCTGTATCTTCCCTGGGCCACCTGGGCTTTGGTCACTGTGTGATGTCAGTACTAGAGCCAAGGGTGGGGGCAGGAGATAGGGAAGTAATCCCTGCTTATGGCCACCAGTGCTTCCTGAGCCCAGAGGTGGCGCTGCCTAGACCCATTTCTTGGGTCATGGGCCATCTGGTATTCTAATGGAAGCTGTGGGATACAGACACACATGTAGCCTTGCATATCATTTAGGGAATTTGGGGACTTCCAGTTAAGAACCTGCACCCTAAAGGAAGGAAACTAGAATTTCAGTCTCCTATGTGGAGGCTCAGAAAACCCTGAGCTTGGGGTTTCACATAGAAAAAGTAGTCATCTAACAGTGAGGGTAGGAGAGAACACAGCCATTTCACACAGCAGCACACTGAGGCACAGGGCTTGGTCCCTGGCCAGGGGCACATGGTCAAAGGCAAGTCTGGGCCAGGTGTGGTGGCTCACACCTGTAATCCCAGCACTTTGGGAGGCTGAGGTGGACAGATCACGAGGTCAGGAGTTCAAGACCAGCCTGGCCAATATGGTGAAACCCTGTCCCTACTAAAAATACAAAAATTAGCCAGGCGTAGTGGTGTGTGCCTATAGTCCCAGCTACTTGGGAGGCTGAGGCAGAAGAATCACTTGAACCCGGGAGGTGGAGGTTGCGGTGAGCCAACATCGTGCCACTGCATTCCAGCCTGGGCGACAGAGTGAGACTCCATCATAGATTAGATAGATAGATAGATAGATAGATAGATAGATAGATAGATAGATAGGATAGATAGGATAGATAGATTAGATAGGATAGATAGCAAGTCTGTGACCCTCTGAAGATCGGTTTTAATTCTTGCTCCATGGGGTTAGCACCCCTCTTCTGGCTCCATTGTCTTGTCCTTGGAGCCCAGTGCCCATCTGTCACTTTGCTTGTGGACCCAGGCTTCTGCCTGGGGTGGCACTGGGGCTGCAGACAAGCCTCCCCTCCTCCCGGCTGCCTCGCCCACACTGCTGAACCTGCAGCGGGATAACAGTCTCCAGGTCTGTGGGGACCCTGGTCCCTGCTTCTCACTGCAGGGAAGTGGCCAGTGCTGCCACTGGGTCTCACTCCCTGAATGAGAGTGCAGGCACCTGTAGGTGGCCTGGGGCAGACCGTTACCAAGTGATGGGAGGAGGGGCTGACGCCAGAGTAAGACCCTGCGGGGAGGGGGGCTTCCCTGTGTACAGCTCCTGGGGCGCAGCAGGCGCGTACCAGTGCAGCTTTTGTCATTTCCGAGCAGCACTGGCCGTGAGTTTCCCAGTTCAGTGTAGGCAGGGCTGGGCCTGAGCCCAGGCAAGTCAGTTGTGTTCTCCACGCCACCCCCGCGGCCTCCCAGGAGCAGAGCTGAGTGCCAGCCCCACCCCATCCATGCAGCTTGTGTCAAGTCACTTTGTGCTGGGGCAGCTGAGTGTGATTTTCCTAGGGCTGGAATTTAAGAGCATGGCCTGGCTTCTCTCTTCTCATCCCCTGTCCCCGACTCCTTCTCTTGTTCTCATCCCCTCTGGCTGCTGGTGACCAGCCCTCGATTTGAACTGCCCATGGGAACCACCGAGCAGCCCCCACTGCCGCAGCAGACCCAGCCTCCGGCAAAGGTACCGTGCCTGGCCCTCCTCGGTAGGAAGGAAGTGCCTTTTCTCCAGCGAGAACCTCAGTGTCCCCCGGGGGTGCGGTCTGCCTTAGACCCCACTGGAGAACTTGGGAGAGAAGGGGCGTCTCCCAAGTTCCCGCAGAAAAGTCGGGCAGAGCCATGTGTATCTCCCTCGAGAGATGCAGGGTCTCTCACCCTGGAACCTCGGCAAGGCCAAGCGCAGCAGCAAAGTTGAGGCGCCATGCAACCAGCCACCCATTGTGAGATGGGGCTGCCTGGCACAGCAGCGTCTGCCCCAGGAGCCGGCCTGGGCACCATGTCTGTGCCCGGGGAGCTGGCATGGAGCCGGCCTGGGCACCGTGTCTGCTGCTTTTGCTCCTGGGCCAGACCCTTCGTTTTGCAGATAGGGGAACTGAGACTCCCAGAGCCGGGGGACTTGCCTGAGGCGACGCCACTGGGCAGGAGCAGGTGTGGCAGCAGAACTGACCACTCTGGCCAGCACCGCCCCTGCTCCTGTGGAGTGGAGGCTGGGAGGAGGGGTGAGAACAGCCCAGCTGGCTCCAGTTTTCTAGATAAGGGGCCCCACAGCCAAGCAGCTGGTCCGACCCCTCCAGCCCAATGAGGGAGGGAAATGCCATAGACACGTGGGGATCTGCAGCAACCCCTCAACGCCAAGGGCACCCTGAGTTTGGTTATGGGAGTCGGGGGTTGAGCCAAGAGGAAGGGCTGGCATCAAGGCAGGGCGGGCATCAGGCAGGGTTCCCAACAGGCCCACCAAGCCCACCCACCTGAGTCCAAAGCCTCACCTCCTACCCTGCTGGGCTCTGGACTGGCTGCCAAAGCCCCACCAGCCCCGCTAAGTGCCAGAGGCTGAACAGCCAGGAGAGGATGCAGTGGATATAGCTGTGTGGAGGCCAGTCATATTGAACTCTTGATGGGGAAAGCCGGGAATTCCAGGTGTAGGTGCAGCCATGCCAACCTGGGGGTTTTCTAGCTCGGGTTCTGCACTTATGGGCCAGAGCCAGGAGCCCACGGGTCGGGAGGAGGCCCTGCTGTGGAATCCCTACCCCAGGAGCCCTGGCCCTCCTCCTGGCGGGGCTCCCTAAAGGAGGGTCCTCTCAGCCCGAGAACGCAGCTCAGTGTGTCAGGCTCCAACTGTTTTTCTGTGACTTGCTCGCCGTGTAGGCTGCTAAACATCTGGCTGAACCAAGCGTTCATCCTGACCTGAAGCCAGAACCTCAGAAACCAAAGTAAGGCCTGAACATGCCCTCGCCCCACTGCCCCAGAGACCTCCTCTTGTCTCCTTGATGTTTTGTTTTCTATTTTATTTTTCGTTTTTGTGTGTCTGCATGGTGTTTTTCGGGCAGTGGCTTCTGCCATCATCACCAGATGTTTCTCTGTTGCCCGCTGTCCTGAGCTGGGCCGTCGTGGAAGCCCTTCTTCCTGCCGTTTGCGGGACAAGTCCCGCCTTCTTTTTTCCTGTCCCCATCGGTAGTCTGCGTGCACGTGTTTTCCACAGTAAAACCGTGTTGTGTAACTCTTTCCAGCAAAGTAACAATCCGCCATTACAAAGGTCGTCCTCCTTGATCCAGTTAACGAGTCAGAACTCTTCTCCCAATCAGCAGAGAACCCCACAGGTCATCGGGGTCATGCAGAGTCAAAACAGCAGTGCGGGCAACCGGGGACCCCGGCCACTGGAGCAGGTCACCTGTTACAAGGTGAGTTCCTGGGCTGGGGGATGGGGTAGGGTCTTCCCTTACTGTCAGTGGCCATTCCCTCTTGCCCCATATGTTTGGTGAAATGAGAAAAGTGAAAACATTCATTTTTGCTGATTGTAAGCATAAAGTTACAGTCTAGTTACCCATCCACTATGGTGGGCTAGAGACTGTCCTATTTCCTACCACACCGCACTGAGGCACAGTAAAGGATGGTGAGAACGCCTGCCCAGTGAATGGATGGGGCCTGCAGGCAGGTGAGGGAAGCCCCCAAGAGGGCGGGAACAAAATGGAAACACTGATCCAGGGAAGGGTAAACCCTTGGAGCCGCTGGCTGTCCTGAAGGCATCCTCGGATCCTGCAGGGCACATCCTAGGAAACAGGACACTGGGTTACAGCACCCCCGTCCCCATCCCCTCCCCCAGTACATAAAATGGACTCAGGGGAAGGGTGAGCTTAAAGAAACAACCTCGAAAACTGTCCTGTTCACTCCTGGCTCTGTGGGAGGCGGGGAAAGAGGAGGGAAATCTCTTCATAGTTTGATATTGTTGATGAGTCTGGGCCTGTATTCATGTCCTTGGTTAAGGCTGGAAAGTTACAAACTAAGTTTTCTAATCTAAAATCGCCCCAGGATTGGTATGCCCCTGGCACCTGGCAGGAGCAACCCCCAGTACTCTTGGAAGAGTACGTTCTCAACCCAAGGCACACACAATTCCTACGTCTGGAGTTCTGAAGAACGAGTCCGGATTAGAAATCACAAAACAGGCTGGGTGTGGTGGCGCATGCCTGTAGTCCCAGCTACTGGGGAGGCTGAGGTGGGAGGATTGCTTGGCCCCAGGAGGTCAAGCCTGCAGTGAGTTATGATTGCACCACTGCACTCCAGCCTGGGCGACACAGTGAGACTCTTGTCTCAAAAAAAAAAAAGGGGGGGGCACAGAAGTGGGACTGTGTATAGAGCAGACTTAGCTGTTACCTTGCCGCCCTGTAATCCCAGCACTTTGGGAGGCCAAGGGGGGTAGATCACAACAAGGTCAGGAGTTCAAGACTAGCCTGGCCAACATGGAAGAAAGAAAACAGGGACTGCGGAGCCAGGGAATAGAGCTGGCAAGAGTGCTGGGTGTTGACTGGGCAGAGCCCCTCGGGGCAGCAGGGACTGGGGGGTGGGTGTCAGCACACAGTGCCCCCAGCTGCCTCCTGACCCTTTTGTTCAGTGCTTGAGGCTGCCGTTTAAGGAGTCACAGAGTAAAGAGAAACTACGGAAGGGCCTGGATAATCAGGACTGGGATGAGGCAGGGTCAGGGCTGGATTTGTCATGTGGCTCTGCAGGCTCCCCTTAAAAGCATCATCCCATCTCTCTTATCCTGTGATCAAAACCTGTCCCCAAGGTAGCTTAGACAGGTGTGTCACAGCCACGAGGGAAAACGTTGGGTACAGCCCACCTTCTGTCCCCAGCACTGGTTCCCAAAGGGAGGGGAGGCTGGGGCACTTCTCATGCTGTTCCCTCCCGTCTCCTGCCAGGGAACCCCAGACCTTGGCTCAGAGGTAAGTGACTGGCCTGTGGTGCAGAGGGGCTTGGTCCCCAGACGGGGTGGCGGAGCTCAGGTGCTATGGGCTTCTCTTTGTCCTTCTACCCACTTGGGAGTCCCTCCCTGGGCAGGCCCTGTGTCCATGTGGGAGAGGTGTGGGCCTGAAAGAGCCCCTGCAGGGTGCTAGCAGGTCGCCTTCTGGTGGCCTGTTCTCCCTCGCACCTGTGACTTGCTGGCTAGTTTCTGCACCACTGCACTTTCCATCCTGAGCTCCCTCACCCTCCAATTTGAAAAAAACTGTACCACTGAGAATTTCAGAGTCCTGTTCCGACTGGGGACTTGGTGGATGACTGGGGATTTGGTGGGCACTGCCTTAGTTGAAAACTGCATTTGAACAGTGTTATTGTCTGTCTCTCCTCTTCCCCCCACTTCCTGCTCTTCCCAGTGTGGCGAGAAAGGACACTACGCCAACAGATGCACCAAAGGGCACTTGGCCTTTCTCAGTGGACAGTGACAGCAGCTGGAGCCAGCTCCGAGCAGCCCGGGGGCCCCGCTGTTGGGAGTGTGCATTTAACTATTTCATGCGCTTATTGGCGCGACTGTGGCTTGAGCTGGCCCGCAGGCATGTGGGTTTCATCGCTCTGAGGGGCCACGCCTGTTTTCTATTATTCTGCCGTAATATTTTTTGAAAAAGGGACAAGTGTCCTGCTGGGTCCCTGCAGTCGACATCCTATTTGGCTGGGCATCGATGCCCCCTTTCTGGATTGATGCCTCCTTTCCGGGACTCCCGGCACGAGTCCCCTCATCCGGGGAGGGAGGAAGCTGCTGGGGAGGGGCTTGGCTAGGCAGTTCTGTGTGGCGATGGTTTCCCCCCTCATTAAACACCAGTTCTTGGTGACCGCAGGGGCTGGTAGGTCATTCAAAGCTATGGCCGGCTCACGCCTGCTTCCTCCCTCCCTGCCCTGCTGAATCCTAAAGCTGTGCCTCTATGTGATTTGAATGAGGGAGCCCTTCAGGGCAAATTCAGGTGCCCCCATTGCCTCAGACTGGCCCTGGTCCCAGGTGGCAGCGGTTGAGGAGGGGTGCAGGGCTCTCAGGCCTGAGGTTCTCTCCTCTGGGCTTAATTTTCTCTTGGGGTCCACTCCTGACAGAGTTTAAGGTGTCCCTTGAGCTGGAGCTGCAGACCTTTAAATAGATGGCCCCTTCAGATCATCTGTGCCTACCTCCTGCCCGCCAGGCGTCTACACTCACTCAGATGCCTGTGGCATGTGGAGGAGACTGCCTTGTCCTGAGCCTGGAAAATGTGAAACTGTCTCCTGTCTCCTGCTGGGCATGTGGGCCTGGCCACGTTCAATTGCAAGAACAATTTTTATGAAATGGATTAAAGCTTGTTTTTTAAGCCATGCCTCATTACTTAAGGTTCTCATGCCAAGCCTCTTACACTGGATGCAATCACGGCCTAGCTTTCTTGTCCCTTTCAACAAATGTCAATCTCACAAAGGGAAGTGCAGCTGCCCAGAAGGCCTTTGTGCAAGCAGCTGGTCAAGTCTGGGAGTCTGACCTCTGGAGCCAGCAGGCAGGTTCTCCACCTCAGCTCAGATGTCAGGTGGCCCCCATTTCTGGAACACAGCATCCCACCCCCAATGAGGCTCTGATGAAGGGGAAGAAGGAGGAGTCGCCATGGCCCCTCAGTTTTCCCCGTCACTCCCATCCCACTAAGCCTGCTAGAGAAGCCTCCTCAGCTGGAGGGCCACACTCTGCAGCGTGGGCATTAGTGCTGCCTGAGGTCTCTCCAGACAGTGCCGGGACACCTCACCCTGTAGCCCTTGATGCCCCAGGGTGATGCAGAAACATGAGATGAGAAAACATCCGGGCCGTCTAAAAATCCCCTGCCTAGAGCCACAGGACAACCGGGGTGGGGTCTGGAACTCTCAGGCACACAGGCCTTTGTGTTACACCATAAAGCGTCAGCCAACTAAAGGCCAGAGTGTCTGCGAATGCACCTGTCCATAGCACTCATGGCAGGGGACAGACTTCGGCACTGCTGCTGCAGGAAGGTCTGGATGACACCCTGCCCTCCAGGGAGCTGGGACACAACCCAAGTGGTGGTCTGGGAAGTCCACAAAGGCCTTCACAGGTCAATGCCCTGGAAAGACAACCTCCCCCCACCTTGTGCCACAGGAGCCCCTGGAGCATGGGACAACGGCTACGGCAGGCAAGCAGCACACGTACCAGTCATCTTTTATTTGGAGGTTAATTCTCATTAGGACATGAAAGGATTCAGCAACGATCGAGATTGTGTTCCTCACGGAGGGGCTCAGGCCAAGGTCATGGGGTCAGGGGGTGGTGCATAGCGTGTCCTCTTCAGTGGTATTTGCGGTGCCGCTCGTGCTCTGAAGTCAGGAAGGCAAGATGGTAAGTATCTTACAAGGTTACAGTGAAGGCACAGCATGACAGGAAGCAGGCTGAGATCACACAAAGCCTTCCTGAGAATTCCCTTCAGAGATGACCCACGACCCGCCTGCCGGTGTCTCTGCAGAATCAGCAGACCCGGGGGGGCACAAAGACACCTCAGGAGCCAACCTGCCACCTGGCCAGCTGCTTTCTTTCCAGAAGGAACAGAGGGAACACCTGCTCAGACAAACAGCCCTGAGAACCCGTCCTTCAGAGGCAGCACCGCCCTGGTGCAGCAGAGTGGGAGTGAGGTGGGGGTGGGGGGTGTACACGACACTGTCAGAAACAGTCTAGTCAGAGGACGTCAGCAACACTTCCCGCCGATCTCCCACCAGACAAGCTCCTCTCGAGCCTCAAAGCCGGAACAGCCCTGCTTTTCTGGGGTACCAGATTATCCCACTCAACTCATTTCACTTTCTGCACTGGCTACTAGGAAGATCGAGCCAAATTTTCACAGAGCCTGCTGTATTTTAAAGAATGCTTCTAAGTATTCTCTTTACCCTGGCTTCATTGTGATCTTCCTGTGTTCTCATCACAATTTTCTCATTCAAACAATATCCCACATACTGTACTCTGATAGGTCCCTCCAATTCTTTTAGGTGGAAACATAAGGGATTTACTAAAGGTCTCTCAGCCTCGGAAGAAGGTGGGCTGCTGTCTCTAATGAAATCAGTCACCACCACCCTCTCTCGGGAAACTGAAGGCAAGATGCCACAGAGGCACTCACTGAGATGCTTGTAGGAAATGCTGTAGTTGAAGAGCACGTAGCATGCCAGCACCATGGTAATCCCCGAGATGCTCCCCTTCTTCACGTTAATGTACTTGTTGTAGTACCGGTAGTAACCTGCAAATGCAAGAGGCGCTCATTGCCCTGCTGGGCTTCACATTTCAGTGAAGTTGAGCACACAGTTGAGTCTGGCTGACATTCAGGGACCCAGTCCTGCTCTGGCTGTTTAAGCCCCTCGCCCTGCATTCACTGGCTGATAAAGGTGACAAGCACAAATGCCAGTAAGGTCTCCAATCCCCATAGCCTAAACTATAAGCACATACCAGCTCCTGAACTAGGCCCACCTGGATTCCACCTCTCCCCTTTGGCCTTGATCTTGTCGCCTCCTGAGTAGCTGGGACTACAGGCATGCACCACCACACCCAGCTAATTTTTCTGGTGTGATTTTTTTATAGAGATGGGGTCTCTCCACATTGCCTAGGCTGGTCTAAAACTTGGCTCAAGCAATCCCCCTGCCTTGGCTTCCCAAAGTGCTGGGATTACAGGAATGAGCCACTGCACCCAGCCAAGATAGGCCATTTCAAATATTTGTCCTGGAAGTTCTGGCAGGGAGGTGAGCATCATATTATAGACTAATGCCCACTACGGTTCCAATTCATTTTCCTCTAAAAGAAGTCTTAGGATTTCTCTAAGAGGCAGACATACTGATTCCAAGCAATAGGAAACACTTTCTTGGCTGCAATATCTCAGAGCCAGCCTTTGAAAGCGCCAATCAACCATGGAGGTCCAAGGCCTAGCCACCCCTCCCTGTCCTCCTCTATATAACTTACTGCTTTCAGACAACAAGACCTTCGTCGCCCAAATTAATTCATGGCAAAAAGAGACCTGAAGACCCAGAGATTTGCTTTCATTTACACACATCCGCAAGGCTCTGACCTCTTCGAAATGCTCCGAGAATGCCACTAGGGCTGAAGTCCCGCGTCAAAATCCAGTTTGGCAGCTCCCCCAGTTTGACCTCCAGAAGTTTCTTGTCCTTCACTGGTACTGAAACGGAAGAGTGAGAAAAAATACCCACTGAATAATCTCCCAGTAACACACATGGCATCCTTTCCTGCCACTACTTCAACTATGCAATAACGGTGCATAATGCAATTACACAGAGGCTGCACATACAAAATATTACAAAGAAATACGTCACATCAAGCCCACTATTTTAAGCCTGAGTCCACACAATAGCAGAACTGCTACAGCGTCAGCTTTATTAACCAACAGGACGTCTGAGTAACAGCTTGCTGGGAGTAACTCCAGAAAAGGGTCTTGAAGAAAGTAGTAACGTGGAGGACAGGAAAGACTACTGCAAAGCTAACATTTACTTGACATTATTAGCTTATTTCATCTTCACAACAAGCAGTTCATGCCTTTATCTTACAGGAGGGGAGGGGGGATAGACTCAGAGAGGTTGGGCCACGTGACCAAGGTCACACACACAACGTGGGGGCAGGACTGGCCCCCCACGTCCCTGAAGCCAATATGAGAGTGTCCTGTCCAACCCTGGGGATGTGTGCCTGGAGAACATACTAGAGGGGATGTGGAAGGAGAGCGGCATGACGGTGGCCCCAAGTGTCTCACTCAGACTTGATGTACTTGTTTACTGGGGAAGGGCTTCAAAGAGCATCTGGGTTCACACAGCTGCCAGCCTCCCCAGATGGGCCAGCCCGAGCAAGTATAATGAAAGAAACCCAAGGAATTTCCACCTCCAGCATCCTGGGACCACAGACGCCAACAATTTCCAGAGATAAAAATAAGAGATTACACATTCCGAGAAGTCAACTGACTTAGGAAAAACCACTCCAAATGACTGAACGGCCCCAGACCATATTCCAATGGGAGCCTGAGAACAAGGAATCAGAAGAATTCCTGGCTGACACTGCACTGTCCTCACATTTGGGCCCAGGAGACCACGGAGGGCCAGGGAGTGGGTGGGCCTGTGGGTGTCAAGGACATGCACTTAAGGAAGAAATGGTCTCCCCTGTTCTCCCTGCAAAGATTTTATTTATTTATTTATTTATTTATTTTTAAGAGACAGGGTCTCGCTCCATTACCCAGGCTGGAGTGCAGTGGTTATGCACAGGTGTGATCACAGCTCACTGCAGCCTCACTGAGCTTCCTGGACTGAAGTGATCCTCCTGCCTCAACCTCCTGAACAGCTGGGACTACAGGTGTGTGCCACCACACCCAGCTAATGATCAGTTTTAAAAAGCTTTTAGCAGGTGTCCTATTGAGGGCAAAGAGTCTAGGACCACGGTGCCTTCTCAGAGATAACCACAAGAGGAGCCAGATTAAATCATTCCAAGGATTTCTTCTCCATTTTGGGATCAAAGGAAAGACTAAGGCTCTGTCAGGACCAGCCTCAAGAGTCTGCTGAGGGAGGCCGGGCACAGTGGTTCACAGCTGTAATCCCAGCACTTTGGGAGGCCAAGACAGGCAGATCACCTGACGTCAGGAGTTTGAGACCAGCCTGGCCAACACAGTGAAACTGCACCATGAGATCGCGCCACTGCACTTGCCCAGGCTGGAGTGCAGTGGCACGATCTTGGCTCACTGCAACCTCCGCCTCCTGGTTCTAGCAATTCTCCTGCCTCAGCCTTCTGAGTAGCGGGGACTACAGGCATGAGCCATGACACACAGCTAATTTTGTATTTTTAGTAGAGATGGGGTTTCACCATGTTGGCCAGGCTGGTCTCGAACTCCTGACCTCAGGCAATCTGCCCGCCTCGGCCTCCCAAAGTGCTAGGATTACAGGTGTGAGCCACTGCACGAAGCCAGAAAACTCACTTCCTGATCCAGTGAAGCCATTTTTTCACATTCACATAAAATATGCAGGCATATTCTGCATTTCATAACCATGTTCAGAGGCTGGCATGGAGTCTGGCACATCACAGGAGAAAAAAGACAACAATTCACAACTTGTTTTTCTCCCTAGTTCTATCTCTGTATTATGAAGACAAGGGTGTTTCCTTAAAACCAACACATTTGGGGCTGGGCGCGGTGGCTCACGCCTATAATCCCAGCACTTTGGGAGGCCGAGGCAAGAGGACCACGAGGTCAGAAAATCGAAGACCATCCTGGCTAACATGGTGAAACCTCATCGCTACTTAAAAAAAACCAAAAAAATCAGCCGGGCGTGGTGGCAGGTGCCTGTAGTCCCAGCTACTCAG